CTGAAAAAGCAAGCCTTTTTAATAGCTATTTTGAATCTGTATTCTCGTCTCCTATAATGAATAACCCTTCTCTCATTTTTGAGTCTTTAGAGGACAGCATGTTGGATATTGAACTTTGTCAAGATGGAATTCTTAATTTACTAAACAACATTGACTCTCACAAGGCCACTGGGCCTGACGGTATACCAGGCCGCATATTAAAAGAGTGTTCCGGTATTTTGTCTAGTTTTTTATTTGTATTATTTGATAACTCATTATCAAGTGGTAAATTACCAAGTGAATGGAAAACAGCTCACGTTGTTCCTGCCCACAAAAGCGGTAAAAAGAATAGGGTAGAAAACTATAGACCAATCTCACTTCTTTGCGTGTGCTCGAAAGTTTTAGAACATATAATCTACAGCCACCTGATAAAACATCTCGACAGAAACAACTTTTTTATTCCTTATCAACATGGCTTCCGAAGTGGTTTATCGTGCGATACCCAGCTGATCGACTTTTATCACGACATTTCTTCTTTTTTTGATAAAGGCGTGCAAGTAGACTGCGTTTTCTTAGATTTTCAAAAAGCCTTTGACAAGGTCCCCCATAAATTGATTCTATACAAATTAAAATTTTTGAATATCCCTGAAAATATTATTAACTGGCTTACTGATTATCTTACAAATAGAAGACAGGCTGTTTTAGTTAACGGGAAAATGTCGCCGTATTTAGAGGTAACATCAGGGGTCCCCCAGGGATCAGTGCTAGGTCCGCTTTTATTTCTAATATATATAAATGACATTTCTACAGACATTACGTCAAGCATTCGTCTGTATGCGGACGATTGCGTCTTATACCGCAAAATAAAGACATATCCAGACTGTTTAGAGCTACAGGAAGATATTGATCGCCTTACAAGATGGTGCGAAATATGGAAAATGAATTTAAATATTCCCAAATGCAATCACATAACATTTACCAGAAAACGACAACCTGTTTCTTTTAGCTATCTAATTGATGGCGCCCCACTACAAAAGGTGGACAAAGTAAAATATTTAGGCGTTCAGTTTTCGGAAAACCTATCGTGGAGCGCGCATGTAGACTACATGACGGTCAAAGCTAACCGTGTGCTAAATTTCTTGAGGAGAAATTTTCACGATTGTCCTCCCAATTTAAAAAATACCCTTTTTCTTTCTAATGTCAGGCCTATTTTAGAATACGCTTGCGTGCTTTGGGACCCTAAAGAACGCTATCTAGAACAGAAAATAGAACAAATCCAGAGCAAAGCTGCTAGGTTCGTTACAAAAAATTACAATTTCAAACAAAGTGTTACTGCCCTAAAATGTCAATTAGACTGGGAACCTCTGAACTCTAGAAGACGCCGCCTCCGTTTAAAATTTTTACATAGAATCTATCATGATCAAACAGGACTGGATAAAACTAAATTCATTGAACTGCCACACTTCGTGTCACGTAGATTAGATCATTCCAAAAAAATTAGAGAATTTTCAGCTAGGACTAATATATTCAAATTCTCATTTTTCCCCAGTACCGTTAAACAATGGAACGAATTGCCAGAGGAAACTATTTCAATTCCATCGTCTGATAATTTTTTTGATAAACTGTCACGTGATAGCTGGGAGTAAGGAAAGTGAATTTTCTCTTTGAGAATGTGCATTCAGAACGCTCGGTCTGTAACACTGTGCTATCTGTCTTCACATCTTTATTCGTACGGAAAATTACACTGTTGGCTAAAGTTTTGTACCATTGTGGATCCATTTGTTCAGGTGTTATAATTTTGCAACACAATTGTTGTTGCTTTTAGTCTTTTTTTTTTTTTTTGCGAACTTGTTTTTTCCTGTGTGTTTCTGCATGTCAGAACTGTAATTCTTGTGCAAATGTATCCTCACCCCCCCCCCCCCCCCCCCCCCCCCCCCCTGCAATAATGCCTCTTGGCGCTGCGGGGTAACATGTAATAAATAAATAAAAAAAAAATAAATTGTTATGAGCGCTCAGAGATGTGTCTTCACACAATAAAGTAATCGGAAAAGTAACGATTACTCCTTTAAGTAATGTCCAATTACTTTTGCCGTCGAGTAATCAAGTAATCTAATCGAATACTTTTTTGCCAAAAGTAATAGTAATTGTAATCGATTACTTTTTTTTAGTAACGTGTACAAGACTGTGGAAGAGTAATTGTAATTGTAATAAATTACAATTTATCTTTGAGTAATTGTAACTGTAATTCCTTACTATTTTTCAGTAACGTGTACAAGTCTGGTCTGCTATTTCGGTTGTTCGAAGACGGTCCAAAGCCTGGCGGCACAGGTCTGCACTTGCAGCTATTTTGCGCAGCGTGCTTACGAAGAGGTGCGACTCACATTATACCAAGTTTTTTGTGGAAACGGTTGTTTAGTGGGGGGGGGGGGGGGGGGGGGTGTGACTTTTACAATGGTGCGGATTATAGACAGAAAAATAAGGTAATCTGATATTTCTGTTTGCTCTTTTTGTGAAATGAATGGTAAGCCTCCGAGAGAAAAAGTGAAAGGACAGTGTTGCTGCATTCTCCCCATGGGAAAAAAACAAATGCCTCCATCTTGCGCCTTGTGCATTCAGCTAAGATTGGATCGACTCTGGTGTCAGCAGTCAAACGGTGATTCCTTTCATTTTTCCCCATTTTTGTTTGTACACTCTTCGCTAAAAAGTTCGGGAAGGAGCTTTATTTCTCCAAAAATTTATCGCAGCTTTTCAAGCAGCTCGAGCCCTATTTCTGTTCATTTTTGCGAGCGTATTGCGAGAAATGTGAAATACATTCACGAAATCCGCGAGGCAAGTCATGAATGGCACCGATAAAGGTTCAATGCTTTTCATTTAGGACAAAAGAAAAAAACCAACATTTACTGTACCTCGTGCAGCCCAGCACACCTACAAAGTGCTAGACTTTCTGACGGCGTAAATTCCGTCAAATGCGATGAAGGAGCAAAAACACTTTTGTCAAGAGCTTTAATTGGAACGATATGCAATATGACACGTGGCGAAGGAATTGCAAATGTATGAAGAAGTTCTCTTCTTCTTCATCCATGCACCTCTTTTTTGGAGGGTAGTGCATCATTTTCCCTGAAATGCCTCCACGCATACAATCTGACCCTGAAATGCCTTTGAAACATCATCCTTGGTATGGCTTGACCAACACCAACATGAGCGAGCAAGATTCGGGCAGAGTTCCCACAGAAAGCTATTGCTTTAAAATGAGTCTCTTAGTATGCAGTTCACACTATGAAACCCCGTAAAATACCGTAATGCAATATGGTGCAAGTAGGGCAAATTCAAAGCTCCACAGATTGCTCTGTCTGTCCTGCCACATGTCCCGGCGGGAACGACGTATAGATCTTTGGAAGTTCCTATATGCACAATCTGTGCAACAAACTCTAATAGCCTTGTAGAATGACTAACCTTTTCCCACCTTAGAAGACCTTTAAGACTACCGTACAAGTTAAGAGTGCAGCAGAAGCTCCACGACAAAATGTTATTGGAGTGTCACAACAACTGGCCTTGTTTGCTTGACACTGGTCTTGTTGGACTGGAAGCCTTTTGCCTTCTTCACCAGTCCTTCTTCACTGGTGAAGAAGGCAAAAGGCTTCCAGTCCAACAAGACCAGTGTCAAGCAAACAAGGCCAGTTGTAATACCGTACCTGCACAGGATGTCCCATAATTTAAAGAACGTCGCAAGCTGCTGTGGGGTCAGAGTAGTTTTTTCAGCACCACAAAAAATGAGCCAAATTTGCAATAGAGTGAATGCGCATGCTGAGGGTACCATAAAACCCACGTGCACCAAGAAGCATGTAAACAAATTCCAACCATGTGCTTTGGGCGTCGTGTATAAGATACCTCTTTCGTGTGGCAAGAGCTACATAGGCCAAACGGGCAGATGCCTCAATGACCGCCTCCGGGAGCATGATTACTCCTTGAAGGCTACAGTGGGCGGAAATCTTGCTCTCCATTGCAGGGAAAGCACATGCAGACCATTATTCCGTGAGACCAACATCTTGGGGAAGAACAAAGACAAATTGACCCGTGAGGTATTGGAGGCCTTCTACATCCTTCGTGAGGACAGGAACTGTATTAGCGCTGAATCCGTAACGCTAACAAACAAGGAAAGGAAATTCCTTGAACAAACAATGAAGGGCCCGCACGAGCCTGGATGAACTAGCCGCTATCATTCACGGGGCTGTGGCACGTGCACGAGTCCGCGGCAGATTATTTAGGTGTTTTCTTTCTCTTCCCTTTTTATCAGTAAACATAGTTGTGAGTAGTGCTCTTTTCTGTCTTGTCCTTCTCTCTACCTTGTGCGCTAAATACCTCAATATATAAGTGTTCTCTCGAAAAATTTCACAGCTTCTGGCCACAGCGTGCAAAGGAGTGTGTTATTGCACATAGTAACACCCTCTTTTATGCAAGTTTACTCTTTATTTATTCAATCCCACGCAACACAGCCTTGTGGTCACTGAACTATGTAGGAGAGGAAATATTGCACAGAGAAGTCAACGTCCCTGCTCGAGGCTAAATCGAGACAGGTACTGTTACGAGTGGTGGGTTGCTTCGCACCTGCTTCAATATACTGCAAAAGCACCCACTCCATTTTGTTCAGGCGCCCACTATCAACGAGCTCCAAACTTGGGAATTCTGCAAATTATGCGTTAAGCACCCAATTTGACTGGACAAATGCCCGTGTCTAGGGTAACCCAGTTTTCAGTGAAAGCGGGGTGGGGGCTCCCCCGGTGTTTTATGGTAAGAGCACTACATGCAAGCCGAGTTCTAGGGTGAGGAATGTGTAGTAACGTCCCCAGCAAACTGTAGAAGAAAAAGCAAGAGTTAATTGCACGCGCTTCGCCCGGTGTAACAAGGCAGTGCACGTGCGAGTGCACGTGAAAGGGAGTTTTCTGCCTGGCACAATGCAGACGCCACGAATGCAGCTGAGAAGTCGCTGTCACTGCCGTCACATTATAACGACCGAGACCCACCTTCGTCTTCCGAGAGGGAACTGTCCGAGCCGCACTTGATGAGGACGGAGGCCGAAGTGTGCTGGGTGCGGAAGCTGTCCACCTCGTCCGTGTCCACCGCGCTCAGCTTGCGCACAATCCTCTCGGCCATGGTCTCCTGTAGCGCGGTGGGAGAGGAGGGCTTCTCGGGCGAGAGGATGGCCACGCTAGGCTCCACCACCGCCGTCGGGGTCATGGCCAGGCTCGGGTTCAGCTTCTTTTCCTCCACGGGGATCTGGACGTAGTCTGCAGACCACATCTGCAACAGAGACCAGTTTGTCGCCTGTCTTTCAAAACATGCCTTTGAAGTTGACTATTTCTCAATCTGCAAAGCAGGAGGTGCTGAAGCCAGTACGCTCTTGTCTGCGCTACTGTTTTATATCTGTCCACGTTGCTGATATATATATATATATATAGAGTATAAAGCAGAACACAAAATCATTTCAGGTACTGAATTACCGTGCAAAGAAAGGCCGACCTCTCTACAGTCAAACCCATCTCTAACGAACAGCAGGAAACACTACGATCAGTTCGATACAGCAAAAACCATTCACAATGAACTTCCATGATGCGTTCGTTGTAAGGCGAGAGCTTCTCTCTTTCCCATCTCTTCGCTTCCGCCTTGTAACAACGTGCTAAAAGTTTTTTTGTTTTTTTTTGCATGCGTGCAGAGCAGGGTGTCGAACCGGAACCGAACCGAACCGAAAACCTGAACAGAACCGTTATTTTTAGCCGAACCGGAACTGAACCGAACCGAAACCTTCGCCGCCATCTTAGAACTGAACCGGAACCGAACCGAAAAAAAAATATAACGGTAACCGGTTCCAAACGGTTCAAGGTAATATTTCTTTTTTTTTTTCTTTTTTGTTAGTATCACCAAATGAACATATGGGAATAAAAAATTGGCGGCTGTATTTATATGTATTGATCAAATCGTCATATACAGAATTGCAATGAATGATAAATTGTAGGTTTTCGTGGCACCTTTGTATTGGCACTATGATTAACCATGTGTCACGTGGTCACGTGACGTCATGGTGTCACTACACGTTGTCAAGTAATGTCACGTGGCCTTGTGACGTCACGTGACTCACTGCGTCAACTTGATTTAATTTAAGGAAGTCATTAGATGTATTAACCTTGTTGACAGCATGACATAACATGACATAACGATTTCGCACCGAGAGTCACGTGACACCATGACGTAAGCGATTTTCATAACCCCTACTCGAGTGCTCGGGCTCATGACAATCAGCATCGCCAAACATTCGGGTAAAAGCTCATGTCAATTATACTATATGATAATTATAGCCCAACTCTAACAATATCTGAAGCTCAGCACAAGCTTTTGCTTTCCAAACCCTATCCGCCCAGGGCATGACTGTGATGAACACTGGCGGCATATAATTAGTGTCAGATCACGTGGCCGCTTGTTAAATTGCGAGTTGGGGAGATATCGACAGCTGTCTCTGTCCTTTATTTTTTCTGCATCTGTTATTAAGGAAAATTAATGAATGTTTCCGCAAGCTATCAACGTCAGGGGTTATTTCTTAACACTATTTATTGAAAGTAAAAAAAAAAAAAGGTTGCAAGACCAATTTTACATTATTGAGGCACCGAAACATTTTTTCGTTGTTGCTGAACTGCATCTGAAAGATGTCTCTGAGAATAGAAGTTCTTAAATGACTAAATGCGACTTAATATTATGACGTCAATTAGAACACATGTTTACGGAAGGAATACATAAAAAAAGGGATATTTTAGTGACCTCAGAGGAACAGCCGAACGTTGGCAGTCGGTGTAAGTCTCACACGAGCCTCGTTTTCAAGTTATTGCCTAAGTTTCGACACCCTCTGAATTTTGCTGAAATTAGCTATAAAAATATTTGTATAAATTACTAAATACTACTCAGGATCACTCTCTAACGTTAATAACTGATTGAACTTGGCTTTGCTCTTTTTTTCTAGGCAATGGCAGTTGCCAAAAAATTAGAAAAATATGAGCATCGTTCATCCCCTCAACTCGGAGCCAGAAGCGGCCATGTGGCCTGGCGCCTGTCTTATGCCACCAACGTTAATCATACCCCCGCGCTGGGGTTTTAAAGGAAGAAAACGCGTGCTGGAGCTCTAGGTATTGTTAGAGTTCGACTATTCTCATCACCGCAGTGATGAGAATAGTCGAACTTCGGTAGTGGCACATGCAGCGATGAGAATAGTCGAACTTGGGTAGTTGCACACGCAGTGATGAGAATAGTTGAACTTGGGTAGTGGCACAAGAGCCACTACCCAAGTGTCAGCCGAGGCATTGATTGTTACGATCCGATGTACGGTGCTCACGCAGTTCTCCTGTCCAATCCATGAGCCGCGCTCGACTGTCGACAGGCGAGTGGTTTTGATCCCACAATTACAATATCAATCTTTGGGAAGGCAAGATTAAAAGAAATAGTCTCGTTTAATACTCGCCATTTCACCGCGACAAAGAAGCCTCTGAGTCAGTGGCGGCCTATGCGAGTACACTTGAGCCAGAGGACCAGTACGCCTCGGAAAAGTCATGAACATTCGAACCCGATATCGTTTCATGACCCCTTTAAACTTCACGGGGTGTAAAATAAAAGCAATGAAGGGTTGCGGTTAACAAGTGTCAAATAAAATTGTTGAATTAACAGACACAAAACGAAGGAGGCAATCCCTCAGGAATACTTTCAGCCTTTCCACTCTGGTGAAGAAGGAAGACCAGAAAAGCTGTACTATGGTGGAAATGAAGTAATGGCCGGCCGCAAGTCGGCAAGTCAGAGTGGAAAGGCTGGAAAGGTTGCCGCCATCTATGAGCGACGGCGGCAACCAGGCAACCGGCAAGCCGGTTGTCTGGTTGCCGTCGTCATTTATAGATGGCGGTAGCTCTCCAGAGTTTAGTGTCATCATTTGTTTTCTGACGGACACGACACTGGGGAAACTATATCCCTTAACAGCACCGCTGTATAAAGGAGTGTGTCTGTGTGTGTGGGGGGGGGGGGGAGGGGAGAAGGGAGTTTTAAAAACATTTTGTGTTGTAAAGGTTCCTTTTCCCTGCATCTTTGGCGCAGACCAAAAAGCGTGACCCCGGAAACTACTTTATTTGCAAAAACGCTCTTGCCAAAAAGCACGTTTTCGTCGTGCCAGACGCTCGGGCCGTTCCTCACGACGATGCACTAAGAATAATAATACTAGCCTTTCAAATACTTGGCTTTCACCGAGCTTGAACCTCCTGCAGCGTGCCTTTTGCACCGTCGAATTCGATTTTCTCAGCAAGAAGAAGTCAGAATGACCACCAGCCTATAGTGTGATGACGTCACATGCATACCATGTTAAACAATTCAGCCTTCAGGTGAAATGTGATGTTTGCAACACTAGCAATAGATGCCCTAATTGTAAAGTTGTGAAGTATTTATAGCACTCTCGCGATGAGATATCGCAGCCTTGAGAAATGTTAGAGCGCGTGACTACTCTAGCATAGTGTCGTAAAGTGAGGGCCCAAAACGAGTCCAGGTAAAACCGAATATAACATTAGCCTCCCGAGGCAGTATTTCGCAAAGTTTAGAGCTCACACAAGCTGATGAAATGTAATTTATACTACGATTTTAAGAATCTTTGTCTGTCTTTTGCGCTATTTATGTAAAATCATGAATTTCCTTTCGTGCATCTTTACGCATCTCTTTTTTCAGTAAGGCATTCTGCAAGGGATTATTTGGAAAAATAACATTAATTATCTCTCTCTTTTTGAACACTTCGTGCATTTGACTTCCAATCCATCATGTGAGCACAGAGTCTTTTTGAGCGTACCCTGCAACCCGTTGTTTCACACTGCCAATCAGCAAACAGAAAAACACTTTTACGCAGACTCTACAGCTCGTGTAATTTCGAGTATCGTCCTTCCGCGTCGGTCTCAAGCGGTTATGTGAACTTTGTAAAGTAAAATTTATTGATAAATATAAAATATATTTAATTACTAACTGAATAATTCACAACATAAATAGAGGGCCGACCACCCTAAAGCAATGCCGCCCAAATTATTTGAAAGGTGTTCTGTCAATCTTTTCCGGCGTTTTTATCCCGGACAGGCACGTTGTAAGTGATATGGGGCGGCCTTACATACATTTCTGATTTTGAAGCTAATTTAAATAACTATGTGTTCCTCACACATATAACTTCTCAAACATACAGAAGTCTGTTGTTGCCTCTTTTATGTGGCGAACATAACTTTCCTGTATCTGTGGGCTGGACAAATACAAAGCAAACAGGGGCGTGCGGCGGAACTATGACGATTAAGCATGCAAACCGTCAGAAAGTGTACAATTAAGTAGCTGCCATGTCGAGTAGAACCTGAAATACTACTTCGGTTTACTTAACAAAAAAGAACCTTGAAGGACGCTTAAGCTTCGCCTTCGCGATAGCGTCAACGGGCCTCGTTTGCATCGCATTCTCATTTGCCGCTCAAGCGTGCCTCGCGTGGCCTAGTGAAAAGCGTCTGACTCGCAACTAAAGGGTCGTAAGTTCGAATCCCGCCTAAAATTCTTAATGTTTTTTTCTTTAAGGCAAAGGAATCACTTTCGAAATTGAAATCATTTGAAACATACGGCGACCTTTAATTCGCATTACATGTCATGTTTTAATCACTCTCATTCCACGCGTGATGTCACATATAACGTAAGCATTGTGGGTTGTTTGAAATTCTTGCGCAAGGGTATGTAGCTCTGACGTCATGAACCTATCGACCAATCAGGATTTTTCAGTCACACCACCGACATCGGCTTTTGTGCGACATGAGCTCCTTAACGCTATCGTGTTAAAATCATCAATTAGCAAGGGTGATGCTCATTTGCAAATTAAATTGGCCGGCATCTTGTCAAGAACAAACCTCAACAGCCAGGCTATGCCAGTTTATTTTGTATAAGAAAATGTTCACTTGGGCAAGCGCTATTTTGGGCCAGATTCGATCTGAGTGCGAAGGCGCGTATATATTAGAGCAGAGAATTGCGATTACTTCTTGCTGCATGATTAGTCGCATGCATGCGGTGCTCAGTGTAAACAATGTTTGGTTAGAACAACAGACATTTGGATTGCCACTCGGTGTTTCTATAAAAAATAGTCTGAAAGGAATTATCCTAAAACTTTTGTTACATTTTGAAATTGTCATTGCTTTTAGCTCAGTTGGGTCGTTATCATATACATATATATTGTGAAGTGTATTTCGTAAACCTTATTTCATGATATATATGGCCACGAGGCGCTCACTTGATAATTTTATGAGATGTAATTAATTCCTCAGTTCAAGGACACGATTTCACTTCTAATACTGCGACACAAAGTTGCACCGATCACGGGTATTTCAGACGACCTACCACACTTCGTGACAAAAGTTTTTACCGTGTAAATAGATCATCTTGAACTTTAGAATTTTACTTAAACACGAAGGACAAAGAAATACAGTACAGTTCTAAATTAAAGCAGGGGTGGAACTCATGAAATGTATTTGGGAGCAGCCACGGGAGCAGCTGAAACCGCTGTTTTGGAGCAGGTTGGGAGCAGCTAAAACTACATTCTGGAGCAGGCTAGGAGCAGCTCAGATCAGTTTTCACTGCACTTCAGCTTGTGTCTTAGACGAGCACGGGAGCAATTTCAATTGTGCTTAGCAGCACAGATGAACATGAGTGGTTAGGGACCTAGGTAATGGGATAACAGTGTAACAGATGCCAAAACTTGAAACTTTGTGAGCCTTAATGAGAATCAAAAAGCAAGTACCATATGTTTCTGAAGATGGTGTCCTTGATATTTTCTGAGTGGCTTTCAGCTGCTCAAAAGGCAAATCAGCACTGCTTATTGCACAACCCCCACGTGCTCGACATAGTAATTATATGTGCAAACCACGTGACGTGCGTAAGCAACGGACGTGCAGTTGCGTGGGGGAACAGGGCAACACATTTCGAGTTTATCCTATTGTGCAACTCAATATCGAAGCAGCAGACTACAATTAACGGAGTTATCGTATTCAAAGCGATTAGCGGGAGCAAGGTTAAAGTACGCCGAGCAGATCTACCGCTCGCGTGACAGCAGCTGGCAGGCAAGGTTCCGGATCGGACCGCGTTTCAGTTCTATCAAATCGCAATTATCTTGCGGGAATGCGGTTTCAACTTCTAACGATGAAGTACTAAAAGGAGTATTTTGCTCATTTGTTTTCAATTGGCTGACGTCCGGATCCCGGGCTGCAGAGCCTCAGGCAATCTGACGCTTAACGACTCGACCTCACCTCGGTCGACTTGCTTAACAGCTTATGGTTGAAGAATAACAGTCCAGTCGCAGGTGTAGCGATTCGAATCCGATCCCCGAGTTTTTTCGCGCGCTTCCGACTCGGGATACACAGGGAGAATAAACAGAACAAAGGATTGCAAGGCCGACCAAGCTAAACGGGCTAATTGTTGCCAATCGAGTCGATAGGAACCGAAACCAAGACAAAATACTTTTTTGTTTTTGGCGCACGTTGTGCGATTTGGTGCATGATGGCGCAAGGTATTGGCTGTGGCGCAGTTTCCGTGAAATGGCGCAGGATGGCGCAGACAAATGCGTCTGGCGCAAAATGGCGCAAATGGCGCAGCCGTTCCACCCCTGTTAAAGGCTGATCTATCTACAGGTATGTACCAACAAGCTCAACTCTTTAATCTTGTACTTAGGTAAAATATATTTTACTGGTAAACAAAGGGATGTTGAGTCGTATGAACACGACGTTATGTATATTAATGTAGATCTTCTTCTAGTCTTGCGTCGAAATTAAATAACTGAATTTAATATTTTTGGTACCTAAAAACAAATGTAAATTGCACGGACGGTCGAAGAAACTATAAAGTTAATCGTTTCACGGCGTAAAAAGTGTATACTGCCAGAACAACGCAGAAAATATATTCTTAATTTAGCAGTTCAAACCGGTTTGAACCGTTATTTTTTGTTCCCCAGAACTGAACCGGAACCGAACCGAAAGCCGTGAACCCGAACCGAACCGATAAAAATTTCGGTTTGACACCCTGGTGCAGAGTTTGTTTTTTTAGCTTATTTCCCATTCTGAATCGCTCCTCTTTGTGGGCAACCATTTTGAGACAAAAAGTTTTTTTTTCTGTAAGTGCGTGCAGTGTTTTTTTGTTTTTTTTTGTGCAGAGTGTATTTCTGAATCACTTCTCTTCGCTCAATTTAGTTCGCAACTTCAGCTCTTAGAATTCTCTTTCTTTCCTACTTTTTGAAGTGGAAGGGACAGGCTAGAAGACGATTGTTTGCATGTTTTAGGAAGCCTTCCCGGGGGGAAAAAGTTAGATATAGCCAATATGTTGTTCGTTATAGAAAGTACTTTTTACATGCATTTTTATTTTAATTTTCCGTGAGTTTGATATCGACAATAATTTGCTGTACGTGGGTTCGTCCTAAACGAGTTTCGCTGTAGACCTCAATCAGAAAATTATCTGCTCAACAACGGCACTAGGAACATAATGCAGGCCCAACAAGGATTGATTTTCATGTGGATCATGGATTTATAACTCTCACTGAACATGAGCGCAAAATATCTGAGCATTATGTCTTGTCACAGGAGAGCTATCCTGACAGCAGCAGGACTGGCTGCAATGAGCATGCCAATTACCGTATTTACTCGCATAATGAATGCACCCCCCAGAACGGGTACCAATATTTAGATTTTTTTTTTTTCTCTCGTGCAATGATCGCACCTTTAATTTTTGCCTCCGCGAGTCTCGAATTGCGTTCAACTTAGTTAGCCACCAAGCCAATTTTCTTTTGCCGCCAAGCAGTCAGGCCAAGTCAAGCCAAGCCAAGCCAAGCCGCTCTTGTAATGGCTGCAAGTGCGTAGTTGCGGAAGTGGTCAACTGTGAAACCGAGCAGCACGCACACTTGACGAAGCTTGGACCGAAGAATTGCCCAGCCCCGGACATTCTTCGCCTATCGGATGCCCTGATGTCAACAAACACGCCGTCGTCTGTGGTCTGCTTTCGGACGAATTGTGAAAGTGGTGAGGCCTCAGAACGGTCGCGTTGCTCTCCGTGCTGAGTGAGCTTCGTAGGGCGCTTTCCCTTTGGCAAAAGGCACGCCAAAAGCACCCTAAAAAGGTTCACAATTTATAAAGCATGGTTACTGTGGCGCACCCGCGACCAGCCGTGGGTGCGCCTCCATCAGTGGAGACGTGCCACAGTACTTTGCCGTGTCATATTGGCACCTAATATGACATTTGCGTGACATGTGTAAATGCAAAACTTTTACGCCGCGTAATGAAAGCACCCCCTAAATATGTGTAAATTTTTCGGGAAAAAAAGTGTGTTCATTATTTGAGTAAATACGGTAGCTGGCCCAGAGCAGTTAACTTTGCTTCTGTCCATAGCCCCTAACATCCTCAAAGATGCACCTAGGGCAGCTTTTCTACAAAAGTCCGCACTCCATTAACTTGCAGAGCTGTACACACTAGTAGTAGAGACTCTAGTGTGAATCTTTGTAGGTTTCAACTGGACAAACTATCATAATATCCCGAAACATGCTCCACCCTCGAAAGGTTACCCACCCCTATTTTTTACATGATTTGCTACATATTCGAAAACTCCGAAAGATAGCCCATTTTTAGTGATTGCAGTGCCCTGGCCAATGGTGTCCTTGGCCACAACGGGAGATAAGCAAAGTTTGCTGACTGCGAAGGACAGTTGTCTATCCTTCTCAATGTAGAAACAAGTTTGGCAGCTCACAAAATACAAAAATAGCACTTTTAATATTTTTTCTTGATTGCACATTGCAGCATTACTCCTCATTTTCACCCAATTTGCTCTCGCTCTTAGGTGGGCTGTCTCTCGGGGTATTATGGTAGCTCCCTGCACCCAAGAGGCACCAAAACAGGACAAGTGAGGTATGAAATACGGTAATAAAACGTCAAAACAATGTGCCATTACAGTCTAAGCTCGTTATAACAGACCTTGATTTTGAAAAAGATTTCAGTCTGTTGCAGGAGGAGTATGTTGTATGCAGATATGAACTTGAATCAATGGTGTCTAGAGGAAAACCAACCAAACTTCACAAATCGGTATGTCATATCCAAATGTCTGTTGTAATGAGTTTAGACTGTAGTATTCTCTGGCTCTCTGTACATTGAGCCACTCCGACCGAATCAGACGGTGCAAGGTCGGGCGAGCACGGCGCACTGACCCGCACGACGCCGTCACTGGAGCCCGTCATGATGACGTTCTGGTTGTCCCACTCGTTGAGTTGGGAGAAGCAGACGCACAGGATCTGCTGCAGCCGGTCGCTGCGCCCCGTGGCCGTGTTCACGCTGGCCACCTCACGCCCGTTGATGGTCCACAGGCTGATGTGGGTGCCCGCACACGTGGCCAGGTCGCCCTGGGTTCACATAAGAGGTGAGGTTGACCTCTTACTGCATTTTCTAGGAGAGGTATACGTAATACTCTAACATGACAGCCTTTACTACCTAGCCACTGGTGAGACATTCCATGCTCCTGAAGCTTCCTTTCTCTAGGTTAATGATAATAAGTGTTTTAGAAGTGTAAAGCAAAGAGGTCAAACTTAGCCAAATACTTTTATCGCTAATGATTTCTTTGTTGCATGCAGCATACTTTATTTGCCTGATAACGGCGTAACACAGGTCAAGCACACTACTACTGTTCGTGAAGTTAAAAGAAGTTAAAAAAAGAAGACACTGCACACATCCTATACACACACTTGTGAGCAGACCTACTCACCTGATTAGCAATTCATCCTTAGGTGAGATTAATGTTTGCAGGTTTAGTGAATAGATGTAAAAACGTGCAAGCTCTTGTTTCAGTAAACTGGTCAGAGTTTTGGTTGTTCTACATCTCTTCCAGACAATGACTGCTTTTAACAAGGAGGGTGTCGGCTCACCGTGAGGTCGTTGATGGCCACGGCTGCGATGGGGGCCGTGTGCCCCCTCAGCTGCCTGGTGAAGACGAGGCGGCTCAGGTCCCAAAGGATGCAGGTGTAGTCTCTGGAGCCGCTCACGATCAGGTTGTAGGGCCGGGAGGCAGCCAGGCAAGTCACCGCCTCCGTGTGGCCGTGCAGGTTCTGCTTCAGGCTCATTTTCTTCTTGTCGAACTGCCACACCGTCACGACCTGAGCCCGGGCATTGCAAACCCATTAGGCACTGGAGATCTCTCGTACAAATAAAACGTTCAACCTTTCCACTCTCGTGAAGAAGGAAGACCAGCGGAGCTGTACTTGATACACTGCGGCAACGCGCACGCGCCTGATTCCCACTTCTTCTTGTCCAACGCGGCGCCAATCGTGGATACGTCTCCGGTGAACCAGAGTGGATCGCACATGGCGCACGTGACGCCAAACGGGTTTTTCACGAACTCCCTCCGGAACCTCACCGTCGCACCCGGGAACTGTTCAACCGGCGTGAAGTGCAGTAATCGCCGCGCCTCGTGCTTGCGCTTTGCCTCCGTGGCACGATCGTCGTCCGTGGCGTTGGCCCGCCGGTACCCTTTACATCGCTGGTTTTGTTCTCGGTGGCGGCTTTTTAGAAGAGTGATATGCTCTTTGGCAAGGTAATCTGAAGTGCTGAATGCAGTGGAAATCTAGGCGATCGCGGCCTTGTGGCGGTTGCGGACCCATTCGCGCTGCTGCGTACGTACGTCGCCGCTCCTTCTGCAGCCTGTCTCCTTTCCCCGAAAGGATGCGCAGACGACCCATCATGAGTTCAAACCGAAACTGATAAGAGCGTAGGAAACAGCGCGCAAAACAGACGAGGACAAAGAAAGAAACGTGACGAGCGCTGCACTTGTTACGTGTGCTTCTTCTTCGTCGTTGTCTGTTTTTTCGTGCTGTTTCCTACGATGAATTCCCACCAACGCGCCCAACTATCAATTCTTCTATGATAGCCGGAAAGGTTGCCGCCATCTACGAGCGACGGCGGCAAGCAGACTGGTTGTGTGCTTGCTGCCGTCGCTTATAGATGGCGGTAGCTGTCCAGGTAGGTTTGTGTCGACATACCGGACACGATCCTGGGGAATGTAGCCCTTAACAGCTCCGCTGTAAAGGAAGCGTGTTTGTGTTTCCGGTTTTTACTGCTGGGGCATTTGTTTGGCATTGCCAGAGAGCCCCCGATCTCCTTTCCCCTTCACAGTGGCCACATTCTTTCGTGACTAGACAGGCTTTCTAGAATAAAGGAGGCTATGCCAGTGGTCCCTATGACCGTTAACCCACCATGACCACTGTGGTCAACTTCAATGGCCACTCTGACCACTGTTGTAAAGTCTGGTGGTTACTGTGACCACTGTGATGAAGTCCAGTGGTCACTATGGCCTTTACACCAGGGGTTCTCATACTGGGTTCCACGGAACACAGGGGATCTGTGAGCTGGTCTCATGGGTTTTGCGAGCAAGCAAATCGCAATGCCTATGCCCCGCCTCCCCCCCCCCCTCCTCCTCTCCTCCCCCCCCCCCTCTTCTAGTTAACCCTTCTACGGACTGAGCCACGCATCGAGTTGGTGTTGTAGACAAAGCAAGCTCACCCTTTGCACTAATATGTACATATATTAGAGCGCAGCTCTTAGGCGCCCGTTCCCGGCTTGAGCGGCGTTGGCGTCGCTGTCGGCGTAATTGCGCGGTACGTTATGGGTAAATTTCCCCTCTAAGTCTAGCAAAAAAATTTCCCCGCTACATTTAGCGGAAAAATTTCCCCACTTAATCTAGTGGCAAAATTTCCCCGCTAAATCTAGCGGCAAAATTTCCCCGCTAGATCTAGCGGAAAAATTTCCCGCTAAGTTTAGCGGTAAAATTTCCCCGCTAAATCTAGCGGAAAAATTTTCCCGCTAAATCTAGTGGAAAAAATTTTCCCGCTAAATCTAGAGGAAAAAATTCCCCACTAAATCTAGCGGAAAAAATTCTCTGGGGGGTCACATGACCCCCGTGGACACGTGACTTCCCCAACGTCATGTGACCCCCACGTGACCTTGGGGAGGGGGTCATGTGACCCCACCAAGGTCACGTGGCCACCCCCCCCCGAACCCCAACCCCCCCTCCCTCCCTCCCTCCCTCCCTCCCTCCCTCCCTCCCTCCCTCCCTCCCTCCCCTCCCCTCCCCTCCCCTCCCCTCCCCTCCCCTCCCCTCCCCTTCCCCCCCCCCCCCTCCCTCCCGAGCGCACGTGAACCTTAGTACCCTTCCCTCCTCCTCCTCAAGAGCTGCGCTCTAATTCGGCGTTACAGGGGGTTGTAAACGGCTTTCATTTTTTTACACTGTGCCCCAGGTTAACCCCTCTGCATTCTCATTCTGTCTGTAGTCCTCCATTTTGTCATAGTTTAATTGTCAGTGCAGTAAACTCTTGTTCAGTATCTAAATGCCTATATTGCCCAGTATTATCAGTTGGCAACAGGGCGGGGGAGCGGGGTTCCTTGGGATGTTTTGAAGCTTGCTGGGGATCCCTGGGACGAAAAAGTTTGAAAACCCCTGCACTACACCACCATGACCCCTGCGGTCAAGTCCGATGGTCCCTGTGACCACTGTGGTTGAAAGTCTGGCGGTTACTGTGACTATAACCAGTGGTCACTATGACCACTGTGGTCAAACCTGATGGCCACTGTGATGACTGCGGTCAAGTCTGGTGACCACTGTGACAATGGCCACCATATCCCACCTACCGAGCTGGTGCCGGCGGTGATGACGATCTTGTTGTCGGGGCAGGCACAGCAGAGGATCTCCCCGGAGGGTACGTCCTCCCAGACAAAGGCAGCCCGCTCGCTCTCGTAGGGACCCATGCGGATGCTGTAGTCCGCAAAACCCCAGGCCACATAGCGATTGAACAGTGGCCCAATCAGCACCTTGTTCTGCTCCACCGCCAGCACTGCCTTCTCATGCTGGATGATCTGCCCCACTGGGCCTTTCAGCTCTGCGGGGAAATCGATGTGCTGCTAAAGAGGCAAGTAGGTCTGGTCTGCAAATGCTCTATATTCTACGGATGCATGGAAGCTCGCGTCGACATCACGGAGTTTCTATGCAAAACCGTAGTAATGCAGCTACTCTCAATTTCTTGCTGCTCATCTAGCGGAATATGTCAGCACTGCTCGTAGCTTACGAGCCAACACCTCAAGGCTGGTCTCACCTTTGATTGGATGCAAGGAAGGCTTGAGGTTGTCCAGGTTGTGGAAGAAGAGCTTGTCGTGGCAGTAGCTGAGGCCAGGCATGATGGGGCCTGGGTCCACCACGCTCGTCCTGTTGGTCAGCTTCTTGAACGGGTGAGGTTTCTTGAAAAGCTGGACAACCACAATCGTGCTACAGGTTAACCCACAATGCTGCAGACCTGTCAGTTGGGGCTATATACAGCAGGGTTCCAATAAACCGAGGAGCTCCACTGAATCAAGAAGTTCCCATGAACCCAGGGATTCCCAGGAATCCTGGCATTCCCATGAACTCAGGAGTTCCTATGAACTCAAGTGGTGTTTGTATATAAAACAATTTCCCCGGTTCCTTCAACCAAAGTAAAGGTTTCTTTGGCTTACGTACAGTAAGCATGTAAATACTCTTCATGTATCCTGACTCAGTACTCCACCGTTCACAAGACACCATTTTGGATTTGGAGCAATTGACCCCGTAAGTGATGACATCACAACGTGGCGTCTGGGTCCAAACAAACCGTTGCTAGGGACGTTGCTATGGACTAATGCAAGGAGACTCCACACGAGGCTAGATTTTTGCTTACAAGTAAGTAAATATTTTTTTGTAAGCAACCTAACTTGTTGATATCTAATTATGGAGATGTTCTTGTCATCTCAGCGTCGTATTGCAACGATGAAAGCCATTTCTGAAGTATTTCATTCCGCTTTGCTTTGGTAGCAGACGAAACGATAGATTTGCTGGCCTCTGTTGCAGCGGGCGTGTTCATTGAGTTGTGTCGGTAAACGAGCAACACAAGCAAGTTCATCGCTATTGGCCGTAGAGGGCTCTGGAATGTGCGTTTTTTTCTGTGAAGAACCCAGCTTAGTTCAGAGGGGCGAAAATTCTGTAAAATCAAACCGCGTCATGCAGATCAGTTACGACGACGACTTGAAGTGCATTACCGGCGTAGTGCAGGCCAGCATAAGAAACAAATCGTACGCTGTCGAGGTAAGTCAATTGTTACTATTATTATTGAGGTTGTCAGATTATTAAAAAATTGCATGTCTATCGCAACTTCGCAATTTTTTTTTTTTTTTGTATATATTAAATTTAGTGGATGTGCTCTTTCGGTGAAGATCTCCATCGAACCCGCGATGAGAGTACAATCTGTAATAAACTCACTTTTTGTTTTTTATCCAGTTCTTTCGCGTTTTGGGGTTTTGCGAAAATCTGAAGAAATTGCAGGAATCTTTCTCCACGCGATGGTTACAACCAGGTACGAAGCACCCTCCCATAGCGCGAGTCCGCAAACAAAATTCGGGATCTCTACCAATCGCCTGAAGTGCTTTTCTCACGGGTGCATTGCAATCTTTTAGCAGATGATCATCTCAATCGACGCCTGGACTTTCGATAAACCATATTTTGCATCGCACCCCACGATGAATTCAATTAAGTGTCTGAAACTCATTATATTTCAAACAAATGCAATATCAGAATATCGTCTTTATTCACCCGATTCAGACGCCGGCGCCGGCCTGGCCGGCAAGTGTGTGGCAGACGGCATTCTTCTTGCATTCGTCGTCTGCTGCAGGCATCTTGAGGACCGGAAGTTGCAATCGTAAATATTTCAGAAACAAGCGATTACCGGCACACTTCTGTCGAAACATATATGACATTCAAGCTTTCTATATCTGTGATTTTTAGAAGTTTAAATCGTATACTCCCGATTTTCGAACGGTCGGGTTTTTGCAGCGAAACCTAGCCACATGTATTTGTCCATAACAACGACCCTAGCAACGGTTTGTTTGGACCCATGACGTCACACTTACGGAGTCGATTAACGGTGGAATATTCGTGCAAACGCTCAACTCCTACCGCCAGGTGACGGTATGCTAGCCCTTTCTTTCCATTTAGCTGCACGTCATCATCACCATCATCATCATCATCATCATTTTGCTTTGTTTCCTTCCAACCCATCGCGCCTCCGCCCCCTTTCAAGTCGCCAGTCACCATTTTGCGCTCGTGGATTTGCGTCTCTCTTCTCGTTATGACAACGCTGGCTTGGACGTCATGACCCTATCTGTTCTTCTGCCGCCGCGATGTGTCGTTAAAAGCACAGAAAGTACTTGACCATAACGCTAGAAATGAAGGCAGCGATTCTCAAGCTAACAGAAAGTTGCCGAACGCAAACGGAGGCGTAGCCTGAAGCAGGTCACTATTTAAGGCTTTTTTAAGGCCACTTGGAAGTAATAAAGGCAATTTTTTCAATCTGCTGATTTTTCGGACTGCTCTATTATTCGGACGTTTTTTTGGTCCCTGCGAAGTCCGAATAATCGGTCGGCGACTGTATATATGTACGGCAGCGATGTCACCCGACTCGAGCAGGAGACGGCCTATTGTTCTTGGATGTATCTCCATTATCACACGTTTCGACGTCTTTCCTCATAAAAATGCATATCGAGGTGACGAGACGTATCTGCATTTACATATAAATACCATACAATAGAGCGTTTTACATGCGATTTCTGACTTTTGTTTTTGCACAAGGATAGCAAAAACAGAACCCTAGCCATCTACAACTGTGCTATAAAAAAAAGATATATATATATATTTTTTTTAACACAAAAGACTTTATTTATAGGGAGCCATATAAAAGACTTTAGTCTCAAGCAGGATTTCAACTCAGCACCTTGAGACTGTAAGCGCCAGTGCTTTACCAACCGAGCTACCGAAGGACTTTCTTTTGCTTTATTGAGAGCTACCGAGGGATGGCATTTGCACTCGCTTGCAAAAGCAAACCCTTTCGCGCGGCGCTCAATGGAAGGCCGCACGATCAGGCACGATTACACGCTTCGCGGCCTTGAAAGCGTGTGGGCATGTCATGCTGCACCACATCACGGCGTTTATTGGATACGGGAGCGAATCTTCGATACAGTGGAAAGGCAGCACCGTGCATGTGCACCTCTTTTCTTCTCCCTCAGCCAAGGCTGCCACGAAGTAAATGGCCTCAGAACATATGCAGGCTTATGAAGAATGTAAGAAATGCAGAAGCATAAGGAAGAGCCTTCACCAGGGGCCCCACAGACGAACGACGATAAGCTTAAGGCCTATCACATATTCTGTGCTTACCAGGCTTTGCCGATACTTTGCCACTACTCTGTAGCTTTTTAGCGAGTCTATAGCTCACCTGCTTCGGGATCTGGCCAAAATTGTTGATGAAGCCGATGGTGGCATTCTTCTTAAGGGGATCGTCTATGCTGTAGATGTCCACGTTCCCCTCGTAGAATAGGTGGTGGAAGACGTTGACGGCCTCCACCGCGGGCTGGCCCTGCTGCTTGTAGCCGAAGATGAGGTCGATCCACTCGTGCAGGTGGGCACTCACGTAGTCGCTCTCCAATGCCTGTAGAAAGACACGCGGCGGCAGTGTCACGCCCTCCGCTGCACGTTGCAGTTGATGCCGCACATCACAGTCCTTAGATCACTTGGTTCGTAATCCTTTCGTCGTGCTATGAGAAAGCTTTTCCTACGGACAAACTGAAGCACCAGAGGAGTGCTGCCGACATTAGGAGTCAACCAACTAGAGCGCTTAGGGAAACCGACGGATGGAAGTGGTTTCGGGGAAGCCATTGTGCCGAGAGTCGCTGGATGCATCTACTTTTCATAAAGGCTCAGAGACCCGTCGAAAGGAAGAATGACTAGAAACGGCATCTATACTTGAAGCCTCGGAGTCATGTTATTTCGAAATAATCAAAATGCAAAACGAACGATGCTATGTTTAATTTAAAAGAATTATAGAAATCATTTATCCGTTCTTGTATAAAAAAAAAAAAAAATGTTAACTTATTTATTTTTTCATTTATAGTAGCTTGTTCCACCTCGAGATGTGCCACAGCAGACGCTACGAGCTATCTTAGCCAGTCCTGCGCTCAACGAGTGCCACGTGACTTCCGAGAGATTCGTGCAAGGGGCGGTGCTCACCATTCTGTGCACCCGTATGAATTCTCGTGGGTCGCCCTTCGCCCAAGATGGCAGGAGAATGTCGTCCAGCTGAACGCCGTTCTGTTTGCAGCCTGCAACCGTGTAAACGGAACACACCGTGATGCGGCACTCGCGTAAAGAGACGCCAGAGCAATTAAATAAGCTACACTCCGAAGTAACGACGCTTCCGTCATCTCGGCACTCAAAATCCTTGTTGCTTTATCTGAAACTGCAGGGAACGCTTTTCCGCCCTCCGAGATGTTGGAACGGTTTGTGACGGAGCAAGATAATATTGCCTAAGCTTCCTGACGCCATATCTAGAGCTCAGGAAGTCGCATTTTGGAATTGCAATTGTCGCCAATTGTGCCCGCTCCTAACTGAGCAACAAAACGGCACCGTTCGTGAGACTATCGGGGAATGAAGTGTCGGCGCTCTGAGCCACGGATTGTCAAACTGTGTTCCTGGGAACCAGGGGGTGTCCCAGGGTACCATCAGAGGTATGCCGAGCACCTTAATTTTGTAAATTGCCCCTGTTCCTATATGTGAGTTTTTTTATTGAGTTTTAAGCACTATTTTATAAGACCTCAGCCAGCCATTGACGCATAACTAGGAGCCAAACACTCTCTATTCCGTTTATCGCTGTTTACAAGCTTGGCACACTTCTGCATTGCTTTGTTGCATCGCTGCTGAGGCCGGTAGGGGTTTCTCAGCTGCCTTGAAATCAATAAGTTTGAGAATTCCTGCATAGCATATTCAGTGGCCCTAGGGAACGCTCCGTCACACTGAGGCAACAGTTGGACAACTCTATCTGGCAACACGAGGAAATTGTGTTGCCAGCGACTCTCACATCAAGGCAACAACAGTCGGGCAACATGTTGCTGCCACCCGGCAACCGTGTTGACCGATTTGTTGTCCGACAACCCTGCCACACTGCGCTGATGGCAGGGACAACATGGGGAACACTTGAATATTTACCATCGTTCGTGTGCGGCGTGGCATCGCTGGAAATGTGACTCTACAAAGTGCTAGTGCGTTCGAATTCAGAGCCGGAAATTACCACAGGACGGCATCTACCAGTGACTGTGATTAGAAAACTTGACACGGGAAGTATATTCTAGCCTTTTTTTATTTTATCAAAATTTTCTTCATTCGCTGACAAAGCAGATGGCCATAACCGAGGAAAATGAGATTGCTGATATATGTTTGGGATTTACGCCACCCTATAAAGGGTTTCTGTCCGGTTCTTTCTTTCATGCAATTCCTATTTCTACCGTGAAGTTAAGTTCGCCGGCAGTACCCAAAAGCGCATTTTGTAGCATGGTGTTGAGCTAACTGATGCTTAAAAACTGCGACACCGTCATGATCGGCCTTTTTAACAATCGGTAGAATAAATATTTTTCAACACTGTCTATTTGCCTACCGCCTACTATGTGATCAATTCATTCCCCAAAACTTCCTGGGTATTATCGAAAGAAATCAAAGGTCTGACAGCGTCAGTTTCCAAGTTTCAAGCATCAACAGTCATGATCAGTGTGTCTGTTTTCATGCTTCGATTTTTTAATCCTTGCTTTCCTGGATTAGTAGTATTATGCTTCATTAGCAGGCAGGGTGTCTAGCAAATTATTATTTTGAAATTCCCTGACTTTTCCAGGTTCTCCCTGACAATTTCAGGTGAAATTACCTGACCACTGTAGAGGCGGTTAAATGCATGAGACCCTTACAACACAAGACATTGAGCATTGAGCACTGAGCACTGTGAGAATAATTTTGCACAGGCTTAATCAACTTGCATATTCCGAAATATTCGGGTTCGTTGAGTCAGAATTAAATGAGCCCTTTCTTGCCGCTGACATCGTCAGTGAAGAGGCCACTTCCGCAAACAAAATGAAAGCACGGTGCTCAACCCCACACAATCATAACCGAATGGCAGCATGGCCGCCAGATGGGCAGCATGGCCGCCAGATGCACACTTTCGGATACTTTCGGCTTAAGGCTTGGATTGGATTGGGGTCTGCGGATTTCCTACTTGCTACTAAATCTAGTGGCTCTAACCTGGATTTAGCCTAGTGTTGCGCCTTCAATCCAATCCAAGCCAAGCCAAGGCTTCAACTGGATTTGTCGGCTGTTCCCTTTGCATCGGGTAGCACACACTTTATATCAGGTAAGCAGAGTCCGCGTTACGCTCTAAGCAGAATTTATTGTCAATTTTTCTGCTACCAAGTCCTCAAGCCTTTGCTCAGGGCACTCGATGGCGTTTCCGGCTCATTTTCCCTGACTGGCCTCGCTTTTTGACAATATCCCTGACAATTCCCTGATTTTTCCCGGTAATTAATATTTCCCTGATAATTCCCAATTTTCCTGGTCGCTGTACACCCTGGCAGGTCAGTAGGCATGCCATTTTATTTCACTAGCAGTTACGTGAGCTGGTCTGGCAGTTCTGATTTCAACACTAGTCTGAACCTTCACGACCGTATCTGTGACCATTTCGACAATCACTTTCCGTAATTATGCAATAAAAACATTTCTCAAATTATTTTAACTGCACGCCAGCCTCAATTATTGTTAAATAACGTTTTCCACGATTTTATTCGAGTAAGACGTTATTGATAGGAAACTAGCTCTACCATCGAAACTATCTGTGTTATCGTGTTGCAGGCCCGAAATTCACTCAGCCAGCGATCAGGGCAACATGCGTTGTCCAACACAAGTTGCTGCTGTTTTTGTTGCCGAAAGCTGTCATACCAAGGCAACATTTTCGTTGTTGTCCATGTTGTGCTGTTGTTGCCGTGATGCGACAGGTTTGTTGGACAACACGGGGAGCGAGCAACAAGTTGCCCGACTGTTAGACAACGTGTTGTGTTGCTGTTGCCATCGTGTTGCCTCAGTGTGACAAGGCCTTACGGGACGCGTCAAAGAACAACTTGGGCCCGGAGTTGGGCAGACGCACCCAGGTCGAAACGGTTACTGTTCACCAGGAACTCGGGCAAGTAGAAGAACTCTGGGATGAGTTCCTTGACGTCGGCCATGTTGTGCTTGGAAGCAGAAAGCCAGGCGTCCTTTACGCTGTGGAACATGCGGTCGGCCAGATCAAAATGTCCCCCCTGCACAGAGGAGAGGAGACGGCATGGAGAAACCGGCCCAACTGGATGTGGGGTCGCTCGTTTCTTTGAGCAGAAAATGCTGCACGTGAGAGGTGCTCAGGTGAGGCCTAAATCTGACGAGTCCTTGCTGTAAACACTGGGATAATATTCTGGTGCTACTGAATACATAACAAGGAAAAAGCAACCAGAATAAGAAAAAAGGGGAGGAGGAGAAGACAGGCTGAAGAGAGAAAGACAGAGTGGGAGATGTTCCATTCATTTAAATATTTGCTATTATAGTATGAATGTTTTTGCATAAAGAAATGCATACCCAACAATTTCAAGATAATTCCAATCAATAAAATATTTGCCACTAAAATATTTTTGCAACTGCAATAATTGACCTTTGGCCTTACCTTTCCAACCGTATCAAAATAAGGTGAACAGCCTTGTTTGAAGCTATACGTCACAAGCCCGCTGGTTTCACCTATAGATTACAACAAGAAAGCTATGCGGCCAAGGAACCATAGAAAGGACCAAACCTGTAGTTTGAGGAAGTGTTGCGTGAAGGGCTCCATTCGGACAAGGTACGAGGCAACAATCATGGCAGACGAATAAAATGTGCCGTAGTGGTACGGCGGTGTCTCTCCTAGAAATAAAGAGTGAGGGCAGAGGTTGAAGACGATGCACCACTACGACAGCTATCTAAAACGAGCGGTTGCAATCTAATTATAGATCAGAGAGAATACAAACCGTGGGGATCGTCCCACTCTCTGTAGCGCTTCTTGAATTGATCGAGGCGGTCGCTCGTTTGTGCACCCATGGGCTTGCTGAAGTCTCGAAAAGTTGCAGAGTCGTTTAGGTCCAGTTCCTACGGAGAAACATTTGGGGAGATTATGAGGTTTGAGAAAAGGCCCATTCTACTACGTTTAAGCACGAAGCGAGAGCCCATGTCGAGATACGACTGCTAGTCACAGTGGCAACCAAGCGTCGTGTTACCCGCTTGCTGCGGTGGCTCACGGTCGCACACCGACAAGAGCACTTGCAACATAATGAAACTTGGTCAAACAAATGTTACTTTTCGAATAGCTAATGGCAGCTGACGTCGCAACATTAAAAAAAGTTTTTGGCGACATCAGTTCCTATGATGATTATCTGACTGTCCCTATGATAATTACCTGACTGTCCAGTTTCACATCGCCACCGTCACATCTTTCATTTTAAGGATTGTCCGACGTAGGCATTCGGCAACAGTTTTGCCGTTTTATGGTGCTTCACAGTTGGTGAGACCAAAGTGCCAACCCTCATGCATAGCTCAGCACAGGTAAATGACTGGTAGACCTGCGGTGGTCAAAGACTAGTAGTCTGAACTCCAGAGAGCGGGGGCAGGCACAAGACACCGGCCATCCCTGGTGGTCTATGACATAGTTCCTCAATCTGAGTTCCTAAAAATTCGGGGGCTCATCATAGTGCCCTTGTGGGTTTCCCGAGCTCCAAAATTTCTTTGACCGTCCCTGCTCCTAATTTCCAGTACTATTTTAGCGGGTCTGAGCAATGCATCAATGAATAACTGAGCCAAACACCGCTTGTAGTGTGCATTATGGTGTACAAGGTCGGTGGGCTCCTGCACTGCTTTGCTACATCAGTGCCGAGACGGGGGGCAGTTCCTCAAAACAAGGGTTCTTCAAGATTGAAAAGTTTGGCAATCTCTGTTTGGTTCATGATGTCACCGAGATGGTTAGGAGCAAATTAGGTGGTCTCTGGTGGTTTAAGAACTATTTGGTGGTCTAGGGCAACGGCTTCCAACCACTCATGTTTTGGGACCCATTCTGGATCAGAAAAAGTGATGGAACCCCCCATCCGGCAAAGGGGAGGGGGGAGAGGGGGGTAGTGGACAATTGCAGCAACAAAAGGGTAAATAAAAAAAAACTCAAAGCATGCGAACCAACCTTGAATCTCTCAAATAAAGAATAATAGACCCTACTCATTCGGTACACATGGTTTGGTTTACTTAGCTTTCTAAAAAAACAACAGCATCAATATAAAAAAAAAAAGATTGCTGGGCTGGACTGACGTTTAATTGCACACCTTAAAGGGCAACTCTGCTTCATTTCTGTTTTTGAAAAAATACAATACAGTCAAACCCGGATATATCGAATTCAAAGGGGATCGTAAAATAGTTTGATATATCAATAATGTGATATACAAAGATATGTTAAAATTAAGCTTGAATTGAAATTTCCTGGCGTCTCTGCTAATACCAAAGGCCGTGACAAACAAGAGCTTATCAAATGGAGCATCAAAGAGCCGCTAAATACAGTACAGCATAGCTGGCGGAGACCGCAAACACCGCCACGCTTATATGCACGCCTGGCCGGGACCTCCACACAACATAAAAAACAAAACACGAAAAAAAAAAAAAAAAAAAAAAAATAAAAAAAAAAACAGAAAAGTGAGTTGCATAAAAAAAATCATTAAAAAAAGTTAAGCAAATAACAAAAAAGAAAGCTTACTAAGTTCAGGCAGCAAGAAAAAAAAAGCAAAAAAAAAAGCAAAACAATAATGGCAAAAGGAAAAGGTAAACAAAGATAAGGCCTTTGCAGTGCGAGTGCACAACCTTGTTGTCAACACAATCGACTTGCCACCTTTTTTTTGGGCTCATTTTATTTTGGGGTTAAGGGAGTCGCGCAGCATCAGCAGTTTTCGCAGAGACGAAGACTACCATTCCGACAGCGGGCCCTCCCTGCTCTCCCTACGCGCCAGCGCGTGCCTCTCCCCTTGCTTTTGCCATCCTCCACATTTTTTTTTCCTTACAATTTATAGTTTTTTTTTTGTTTTTTTTTTCAACTGCTTTTTTGCTGTGCATCTTACCGCGTGTATGCAACCCTGCAACCCAAGCTCTTAGGCAGGGTCAGCCTGGCCACCCCTGGTGTAGATGATCACATGACATTTCCCACCCCGTGATAGTGGCCCGGAGCTTTTCTTGAGATCCGAAGCTAATGTTGCCAAGCGGAGCCGAAGTTTCGGTTTCAATTTCTGCTCATGTTTAATGTAAGATTTAACAATATGTAGACCATTTTTCACGAAGCAAATGATGCTGCACCTTTTATTAGTGTTTTAGAGCGCAGCTCTTAGGGGCCCGTTCCCGGCTTGAGCGGCGTCAGCGTAACCAAGGTCATCCCAAGGTCACCCGACCCCCAAGGTCATCACAAGGTCAAGTGACTCCCCAAGGTCACGTGACCCCTCCCCCAGGGTCACGTGACCCCCAAGGTCACGTGACACCCAAAGTCACGTGGCTCCCCAAGTCACATGACCCCTGGGGCCACGTGACCCCCGATGACGTCATCAGTGACGTCACTGATGACGTCACCGGCATCCGCATCGTCAGCGTTATCATCACTGATGACGTCATCAGTGACGTCACTGATGACGTCACCAGCATCCGCATCGTCATCACTGATGACATCACCGGCATCTGCATCGTCATTGTCATCAGTGACGTCACTGATGACGTCACCGGCATCCGCATCGTCATCATCATCATCGCTGATGACGTCATCAGTGACGTCACTGATGACGTCACCGGCATCCGCATCGTCATCATCATTGATGATGTCACCGGCATCCACATCGTCATCATCGCTGATGACGTCATCAGTGACGTCACTGATGACGTCCCTGGCATCGTCATCATCACTGATGACGTCACCGGCATCCGCATTGTCATTATCACTGATGACGTCATCGGTATCCGCATCGTCATCGTTACTGATGACGTCATCGGCATCATCATCGTCACGTGACGTGACCCCCACCCAAGGTCACTTGACCCCCCCCCAGTACCCTTCCCTCCTCCTCCTCAAGAGCTGCGCTCTAATTCGGCGTTACAGGGAGCTGTAAACGGCTTTCACTTTTTTTAGTGTGAAATCACTCATTACCTCGAAATTTTTGGAACTGAGCAGAGTTGCCGGTTAAGGGGGCCTTCACTGAGCCCAAAGGGCCCAAGGACCCCCATTTGGGAGCCACCGGTCTAGGGAATCGACAGGATGGTCAGAGGGAACAAGAAACCCTGTCGGGGGCAAGCAAGCACACACCTCCGAGTCGTAGTCGGCCAGGACCCAGGGGAAGACGGGGTATTGCATCAGGTCATTGTACGACCGTCCCGCTAAAGTATTCAGGTGCATCAGGTACTGGAAGTTGCTAATTTCACCTCTCTGCACAAGGGAAGAAACCAAAATGGGTGTGTAAGTGCACGAGGACAAACCTGCACCTCTGTTTGAGTGAACTTGCCAGCTCAGCATGTCTTCTAGAGAACAAGGAGCAAGTACACCGAGACATCATGGCTTAAGATATATTACAATAAGTTGTATAGACGAGAATGACTGTACGAATGAACTCACCAGCCATCGTTGTGTCACAGAAGTTTCTCCAATCAGGTTGCTTAGCAAACTGGCTCTAGAAAAATAATGAATAAAAAGCACACTCAGAGGGCAGTTTCTACAATTATTCACACCATCACAACCACCAGCCCCAGCAAAAAGAATTAAAAAAAATAAACAGAAAGTAGGATAGACAGGGTTGAAGTTCAGTATAAAAAAAAAGTCACAACACAATGAAGGCTCTTTTGAAGTGTAAATTTTAAAGCAAAGCTTTGTGCACCGGTAATCTCGGAGGTCATAATGAGGCATGACTGCTCTTTAGTCTTGTGCGAATAGTGGATTTTGCGCTCGAAGCGAATTCGAAGCGAATAGTGGTTTTGGCCGAATATTTTCAAATCGAATAGTTTTTCCACACCTTTCACTACCACTGCGTAATGCTTAGATGAAAACCCAGCTAAACTTGTGAAGGTTGTTCCACTTGTTTATTTACAAACTAAGTTTAATCTATCTATATTTATGAACTGTGAACTAAGAAGGTCTGATGTCTTGGGATGGCAAGTAAACAACAGATTTGACATAAAATGAATCCTATAGAGATGGCCAACTATGCCCAATTGAGTGAATTTACAAATCTTGCTATATAAAATATTCTTTCTTTGATCTTGAGTTAAGAAAGAATGAATCGCGCATGATGAACGCAGGCTGTAAGTGCATCTCTGCCCAACATAGTATACTCTTGCATAGCAGTAAGTTTAATTTTGAAACTTTTACTACAATGTAAAGCTACACACTCACAAAGTTTCCATTTATTTTCAAATGCAGACGGCACGCGTGCACCATCCCGCTTTGTATGTATGCTTTTCTTCCAAGCACGCAATGGCGAAATTCATACTTTTCCAAGTGTTTATCGCGGCAGGTTACCCCTTAGAGTGTGCTTCTTACCCAGCACCGATGTAATGTAGAGAAGCATCACCCGCAGAACTCGCTTTCGCGGGTATTGCTTCTCCGCAGTGCTCCGGTGCTCGCTAAGAAGCGCACTCGACAGGGCTAACTCGACGCAATCAACACTTTGAAAAACACAAATAGTGCAGGTCTTCTCGAAGCGAATATCGAACAGCGCATTATTCGAAACTAATATTCGAAATTCCGAATATTCGCACAACCCTACTGCCCTTTGCACTCGGAAGTTGTCATTGGTGCCATCTGAGAGCTGCAGTAAAAAAGTGAAAGCCGTTTACAAATCCCTGTAACGCCGAATTGGAGCGCAGCTCTTGAGGAGGAGGAGTGAAGGGTACTGAGGGGAGGGTAGACCCCTCCGCCCCCCCTCATTCTTTAATATGCTCCGGGGGGGCGGTCACGTGACCTCGGGGGGGGGGGGGGTGTCACGTGACTTTGGGGAGGGGGGGTCACGTGACCTCGGGGGGTCACGTGACCTCAGAGGGGTCACGTGACCTGGGGGTCACGTGGGGACCTTGGGGTCACGTGACCTTGAGATGACCTTGGGAGGGGTCACGTGACCTTGGGGAAGAGACCACGTGACCTCGGGGGTCACGTGACCTCAGAGGGGTCACATGACGGGGGTCACGTGACCTTCAAAGGGTCACGTGGGGTCTTAAGGTCACGTGACCTTGAGATGACCTTGGGAGGGGTCACGTGACCTCGAGGGGTCACGTGACCTTGGGAGTCACGTGGGGTCACGTGACCTTGAGATGACCTTGGGAGGGGTCACGTGACCTGGAGGGGTCACGTGACCTTGGGGGTCACGTGACCTTGGGATGACCTTGGTTACGCCAACGGCGACGCCGCTCAAGCCGGGAACGGGCCCCTAAGAGCTGCGCTCTAAAAGCAGATGTGTTCTGTAGCAACCATTTTTCCCGTACGCAAACTAAACTTCTTTTTTCCCTTTTTAGAGCGCAGCTCTTAGGCGCCCGTTTCCGGCTTGAGCGGCGTCGCCGTCAATGTCAGCGTAACCGTGAGGTCACGTGATCCCCCTTAGGTCACTAGACCCCCGTGAAATCTCGTGACCCCCCTCAGGTCACGTGCCCCCTGTGAGGTCACGAGGGTTACGTGACCTCACGGTTACGCCGACGGCGTAACCGTGAGGTCACGCCGTCGGATGAGGAGGTGAGGAAGAGGGAGGAAGGGTGTAGCCTCCTCTCAGTACCCTTCCCTCCTCCTCCTCAAGAGCTGCGCTCTAATTCGGTGTTACAGGGAGTTGTAAACGGCTTTCATTTTTTTTAGTCCGGTAACTGTTATTTTCTAAGACTTAGAGACATCTTATCCCAACCAGTGGTGCCAAATTAAAAAAGAGGCTGAGCTTCCGGTGATGTGTACTTAATGTATGCAGCTCAACAAACACAATTTGCTTTTTCCGTCCAACATCCTCTATCATGCGACAGCATATCATGATATCTGGCGAGAGTTCGTAAAACTGGTACTACACCCCGCAAGTTGTGAGGCACTCTAGCCACAAAAGTGAAGAAACATAGCAAATAATTATGGTTGACTCATTCATTAAAAATAACGGTTGCCGTGACCATGATGTAAGTTCACCTGAGACTGTGGAAAGGAAAATAAATAGTTTCAGAAGTGTAAAGAAAAAATCTTTTGACACAATAAACTTCCCGCAGCTTGTATGAACTCAAACTGTATTTTAGTCAAAGTCACTGAAAAAAGTTTTCGAAAATGCAGTGCACATTAGGCATGTTAGACCCTATTCTATAGTAAAAAAAGCCCCATCCGAAGCTATAAGGAAATGAGATTGGACTTGTGAACTCCTAGCAGCACACGTGCCATCTATAACAGTTAAAAAAAAAAGAAACTGTGTGCCACAACTGATGACTGAAATCAACCTGGGGAGGTCAAAGATTCAGGCAAGGAAGGAGGCGGCAAGAGTGGGCGAGACCGTGCCAAAGCTCACCCGGATTCGACGTTGGCTCCTCGACGCTGCCCCGCAAGGGACTCTTGAGCACTGTCCGTGATTGCGGTGGCAGCAGACAGGAAGCGACTGTACACCTTGTTGCGCACTTTGCGGGGGAATACCAGCAGGTAGTTACGCCCGTCGGCCGAGAACACTTCCAAGGCAATGGGCTAGCCGAGGGCCGAGAGAGTCAGGGCAAAGAAGGAAGAAGCAGGTGGCAGAGAAAAGAAGAAGAAAACAACCAACAAATGCATTGAGTGTCATCTCTAGAACGTTAGAATATAATGCCAAGTCAGTGAACACTTAGCAGATGCACCATGTACGCTGGCGCGACAGCTGTAACGCAACTCTCGTACGTCGGACAGGTGCAGGGGCGTGGGTCTTATTGAAGCACCGTTGAAATTAGCTAAAAGTTACACATTCAAATGTTCTAGCTGACTGAAGAACCTCGTGGCAAGCTGCCACCAAAGACACCAGGTCTCGCGTGAACCATGATCGATCACATGCAGAACAGCTGCCAGTGCCAAAAACATTCTTGCAGGCGCGCTGCACAAATTGCTTTGTAGCACCAACATGTCCATTTTTCACTCAGTAACATTCTCTTCTATGTGCCATTTCATGTTCACGCATAACATGACCTCGACGTCGAATGCGTCCTATACTAACACCCAAGATGAGACCGAGCGCCAAGAGAACGGGCGACTGAAGGCGAGAAAAAGGAGGCGATGCCCTCTCCAGGAACAAAAGCCCACAGCGATAAGCGTGCGCACACTCCGTTCGTTTTCTGCAATGCAACACTTGCCCAGCACAATAAGCTCAAACAGCTAATGCAGTAAAAGGGCATGGGCCGAGATTTGGTCAAAGAACTACTTTTCAAGCAGAGGAAAGGTGCCTATGCCATAGCTGCACCAATAATGGTTTAATGGAATCGTCTTTGCGTGCTTTAATATCACCAACCGTGAGGCTGCCAAAAGTACCCAATACCAACATTGAAAGCTGTGCAACTGTATTTAAAAGAATTGTGCAAATATTAAAATTTTCAAATGGTAGTATAGTTTCATATAATGCGCTATTTAATATTTACTAGGGGTGTGCGAATACCAAATGGTAGTTATTGAATCAAATTAAAAAAAAGCTAAATATTGAATTGAATAGTGATTTTATTTGTAGGAATTATTCAAAGTATGCTGCGGCGGCACGTCAGGAGATCCCCATGCGGTCCAAATTAATCCTCAGTCCTCTGCTGGGGCGTGCCAGATGCCCCTCGTTGGTTTGGCACGTAAAATCCCCAAATTTTAATTTTTTTGGTGCAGAATATGCAGTTGATGCTGAACAAAAGCTCAAATGTAAAAAAAGTTCTGGTAAAAAAAAAAAGCAGCAGTTGCTGGATGTGGGGCACTAAAGTGGATTTTAAGGTCCCATTTTTATGGCACACACATAATCTATCTACCCTAAGTGTCATAGAAAACCTGAAGCTAGTGCCATGCGTAGCATTTTTAATGCGAAAGCATTAACTGTCCCATGGGGCGAAGCTGGCATCGTTCGTAGCAGCGAAAAACGTCACCTAAATTCCCACTGCCTGAACGAAATGCAATCGATACTCTCGTCCTTTCATCACCTTCTTGCAGTTTGTATTTCAAAAGTGGCTATCGAACAGCTGAAAGCACTTTCGAATCTAGGCGCATTACTCTTTTTCAGTTCTGTTATGTTCTAAATCCGAACTTGCGGCTCCAGAACGACGACGACAACTCGGCTGGTTTCATCGGTGTGGTTTACCCAATTTTCTTCTTGTGATTTTGCAGTTACCATTTCTGTGAGTGTGCCAAGTGTGTGCTAAATCGATGTTTTAATTTGAAACGAGGGGCTTGCAAAAAAAATTAGGCATAGCATGAAATTCCAGCCTCCTAACAATGCGTGCTATAAAGTTAGTGGCATTCATTTTTTTTTTCTAGTCTGTGCGCTAGATCTTTGTGGAATGGTAGGACTAAGAGGTGCTTATCGCATGGTCTGTCCAACATCGCTGCACAAACATTGGGAGCAAACATAGCTCTTTTGTGAGTTCCGTGCCGACCATGAGTCTTTTACTTAATATATAAAACATTCGAGTGATTGAATACTGTAAACGACTTAATTTTCGTGGGCTAAACTTTTCGCGGGCTCAAATTTTCGCAAATCGGGCAAAAGCTGAAAATTTGAAATTATTCGCGGGTTCTAATTTTCGCGAATCGAGTGTAGCTTCCGTAGCGTTCACATATTGCCCAAATTGTTCGCAGGACGTATTTTTCGCGAATTGTAGGCCATTCGCGAAAATTAGGTCCCTGCGAAAATTTAGTCGTTTACAGTACTAGGAATTCAATTTGTGAATCAAATTATTTGGGAACTTACTATTCAATTCGTATTCTTATATTGGAGTGGTCACACACCCCTAGTATTTACTTCAAGATAAACAGCAGTGGGTGGGACCCACTGAGCGTGCTTCTTACCAAGCACCGGTGCACTGCAAAGAAGCAACATCCATAAAGCTGGCTTCTGCGGATGTTGCTTTTCTGCAACGCACTGGTGCTAGGTAGTAGCCGAATCACAAGACAACCTGAATCGCAATTTTTATCCGTGGTTTGTGTACCACGTGACTTTCAAGTCACCGATTCCTGCAATACGCGCCTCGTCTGCGAACGCGCACACTGACGAAGTTGAGCGCCTTTTCACTTGCAAACTGTTGGCGGGAGATTGACTTGAAAAGCGTTTAGTCTGGCAATGGTACTAATTTTTTAAAAATTTTTTTCAATTGAATAAAACAAAAATGGCACATCATTGTGTTTTGTGTGCTCACTGGTTCATTCTGTGCGTGATTCTTGGTTCCACACATGAAAAAACTGCAGAAAGTTTGCCCGGCTGACGCGAAGCAGCTTCCGGGACTCTGGGTCCGTGTTGAGAAGCTTCAGTCAAAACTCGTCTAGCACGCCGTGATAATTCCTGCACATCCAATCAACCTTTTACCGTGCAAGACCTCTCTTGTGGCAGTGGCGTACGTAAGTGTTGTGCACGGGTGCGGAGTTCGTGAAGGCGTCTCCAAATGCTCCTTTATCGGCCCAGAACTTCGTCGCTTCTACATTGAAGCCTTCTCGAGCAGGACCATGCCTGTGTTACTGTCATGCCTTGGGTTAGCAAAGCCAGTGGCCCTTCGCGCGAAGCCTATCACGGTGTTCTATCTCGATCTGTACATAACAGCAGCATACGGTTCTCTGTCATGGTATGAAACATTGATTTCTCTCTTGGACAACGGTGCCACGGTGCGATGTTGGAGCTTTGCAGCACCGTAGGGTGGCGAACACGTTCGGACTGTCCTCGCTGGCGTCGTCTCTCTCATGTGGATGTGCTTGGGAGACGGACAAGCCGCGGATATGTCGTTGCGTGATCAATCCGTCTGCGGATCAGACCCTCGCGCAAATCGGCTATAAGAAGCACACTCAACAGGTCTAACCTGCGCCAATACACATTTAAAAAAATATGAATAGTACTGCAGTCGCATGTTTAGGAGAGATGAACTTTCAAAGCGGGGTGGTGCACGCACACACCTGGTGTTTTGAAAAAGAAACAAGAACTCTGAATGTTGACATCCACATTCAACTAGAATTTTTAAAATGAATGAAACTGGCTATTATGGAAGAGTATATGTTTGGCAGAGATCCACTGACAAACTGCATCACTACTTTGTGATTGTCTTTTTTCTTCAAATTTGAAATTGAAGAAAGGATATTTGCATACAGTAAGATATATAACCTTCACTGATTGGGTTTAGCTGGGCATCTCTTTAGACCTATCTTTATATCAAATGCGTCATTTACTTGCCATCAGAATGTAGGCGTAGGACCTCTTGAGGTGACAATCCATAAATATACCTAGATCCAAATTAACGTACCATAGAAGTGGGCCAGTGGAAGATTGGGAACATCTTCATGAGTTAACTTAGGTGAAAGGCTTGGAGAAACTATTTGATATTTGATTAAAAAATATTATGCCCAAATCACTATTTACTCTGAATTTGTTTCAAACTTAAAATCCACTATTTGCACATGCCTAGTATTTGGCAACGCCACGGATTTGTGCAAGGTGCCGATAATCACCATCTTCTCATGTCTTCAATATCCAAATGGCTTGGCATCGATGGCCCAAAGCCTACGGTGCAACAAAGCTTGGAGCGCCTCATATAAGACTTCCTCTTCCCAACTCGCACCTCAATTGTAGTAGACAAAAAAGTTATGATAATAAGCTGGTTGCTTATGCATAAAAAGCTCTCCTAATATTTAATTACATATGCTAGCTTATTCCTGGTTATTTTTAAACAGTTATGTATTTAAAAGAGCCTTCTAAAGGCCTCGGAGAGGCAGCCAATATTCTTCCGAGAGTTCTTCAGGATTCAAAAAATGTAAAAAATCATGGCAGCAATACACATCCACAACTAGTGACACCTCAACCCAAACAGGCATCTGCAATACACCGCTTCAAAATTAAATGCCATTAACCAGGTCACCTACTGACTTCCTTGCAGCAAAACCATGACAAAATAAAAGCTCACCTGGAGCAAGTACCGACGCTTGTGGACTTCCCTTATGTCATCGTACGAAAACTTGCTGCACCTGAAAGAAGAAATAACAAAAATGTCTAGACCATATTTGGTCTATTTGCAAATTACAGTAGAACCTTATTGATACATTCTCGGTTGATACATTTTCCTAGCTGTTACGTCCAAAAACGCCGGTCCCGTTTCACTTCTATACACGTTTGCAAGTCCGGCTTCAGGGCGCTGCCATCTTGCCTGTCTGGGGTGCGCTTGGACCAGCCATAATCCGATTACGAAGCCTTGCTAAGGCGTCGTAATCGGATTATGGCCGCTCCCGAGAGCGCACCCCACTGAGGAAGATGGCGGCGCCCTGAGACCGGACTTGCAAACGTGTTTAGAGAGACATGTATTAGTTTCCTGCCTGTTATGTTTGCTTTCCCGGTTTTTACGTCCAAAAGTGTCGGCAGCGCGGCACCTCAGCGCGCCGGGCGCCATGCTGCCATGCTGGCTTCGAAGCGAAGCTAGCGGAGCAAAGCTGAACCGCGCCATGCGGGTCGCACGGCACGCGTGGGGACGCAGACGCTCGTCTTCCCTTTACTCCTTTCTCCCTCCTTTCCGTCTCTCTGTCTCCTCGCTCGGCTTTGCTGAGCTCTGTCACGGCTTTTCATCTTGCCCGGGTCTGACCTTGGAGCACTGCTCGGACGAGGAGCGAGGCTGGCGAGGCGGCAAACGCTCGTTCTCTCTTGCTCTCTCTTTCATCTGTCCTATTTTTCTGGTAGGAGGTGCATCCACATGCACTGCTACGGCTGCGTGAGCCTGCATGCTCCAAAACACCACAACCGTGGCATTTCGGAGCACGTGCGCTTTGCACCCACTGACGACGGTCATGGCACCGCGAAAAAGGAAGGCACTCTCTTTTAAAGAGAAGTTTGATATACTTCAGACGGTGGATCGCGATCCCAGCCGGAAGAGATCTGAAATTGCAAGAGACCTCACACTCGCGCTGTAACTTTGAACAGCATCGTCGCCATCACCTACAGTGAATATGTGTCACTTGACGACAACGTCGTTACCTTTGAACCGCAGAGCATAGCGGACATCGTGGCCGACCTCACTACTGCCGACAACGAAGAAAGTGATGAAGATGTCGAGCAAGAAACAAACGATTACGCTGTGGCCACGTTTGAGGATGCGATCGTTGCGTTGGGCACCCTGCACCGCTATATAAATGTTCACGACTGTGCGGAGAGTGAAAGAGGACTGCAGCTCCCGGAGAAATGGCTTTTACTGCTTAACATTAATTCAAAGAGGCAGGCAGATATTACGCACATTTGTGAACATGTCTGAGTCCTCAACAGTTGCTTTCTATCTCATCTAGAACCTCCCTAAGTGCGTTATCGGTTGTTACGTTTTCCCGGATGACACATTTTTTTCCCACGGTCCCCTGAAAAACGTATTAATGAGGTTCTACTCTACAGTTTTGGTGCTTATGTGGGACATAAATTCTGTACAATCCTTTGTGAAAATAACTACCATATAATTCCGTAAGGACGCCCTCCCCCGAGAGTTGATTCACCCATCCATTTTTGCTACCTAAATATCTGTAGCATAAAGATTCAGAAACATTGACCGACCTCCCCTGCCCGCCCGCCCCGCCCCGCCCACCCCGCCCCGCCCCGCCCCACCCCACCCCCCGCCCCACGCTCCCCGCCCCCCCGATTTCCGTCGGACGTCACACCATGTCCGACGGGAATCGCATCGACTGCGTGATCTGCAGTACCGGTCTGACAAATGAATTCATAGCGAGTTCCCGCATTTTCGTCTGTAATTTGCGTGCGCGCGCGATATCAGCTCCTGTAATACGCGAGTTGTTCCCGGGTGTATACTGCATAGTGAAATGCGAATCTGCTGCGTCCGCGGTCTGTGCTATCCTTTCCTGTGACATGCGAGTTTGTGTCGGATTCCCGCATTTTTGTCCGCAATCTGCGCGTGCGATATCGATTCCTGTAACATGCTACCATAAAATTTCGAAAGAACACCCATTCAAAATGAAGAGATAAATGGCAAAAAACATAGGGTGGGCTATGTTTGGCGATGCCACAGCAAAAGCTTATCAAAAATTAATGATAAACCACTCTGGCACCGGCTACAAACCACGTGACGTGGGAACTGATACTGCAGATCGCAGACACTGCAAATTCACAATTCATGATGCAATATACACGTGGCACCAATTCACGTGAAATTGAGATTGTGCACGCAAATTGCGGACAAAAATGCGGAAATCCGCTACAAATTTTATGTTACAGGAACGGATACCGCAGATTGCGGACGCAGCAGATTCGCATTTCACGGTACAGTATAGACCACTTACAACGTAACCGCTTATAGTGCAGGACCGGGTATAACACGGCTTTTTTAAACCACCGGTTCGCCTCCCATAGAACTCCATGTAATTACATACCGCTTAAAATGCAGTCGTGCAAAGGGAAATACCGGTTATAGTACGGTTTTCGGAACAGCCTGGTGACCGCGCCGACTGTCTGACGCAGAGAGCACGCTTCCCTGTGCGACACTAGATAACAACGCGAGCCGCAAGCGGCACTCGCGGGGCAAGGAGGCTGCTCGAAGAAGCAGGGAGAAGCGAAGAGAGGCTTCAGTTGCCATAGCGACGGAGGGACGCGCGCACGTGTCGTTCAAGTGCGTGCATCCCTCCGCTGCGTTGGAAACGTTGGAAACAACCGCAACGACAGACCAATTGCAGGTCGAGGAGAAGTGTTTGCGTGCGTTGCATGCCGGTCGCCGGCCGGCTGCTTCTACACACAAACCATGGCGTCGGTTTTGATCGTCGACGTAGACGGCGTGGTAGAAGCTCATCATTCCGCGTAAAAGTGCTATCCTTGACTGTGAATTTTCGTTGTGTGTCGCTATGATAACCCAGCACATACTAGAAGGGAAGATCCACCTCCTCGTGCGGCGATGTTGTGGCGGCACTCTCAAGACGGCAGAAACGCCCGTGTCATCGTGTTTGTTTACTTCGACTACAGTGGTGCTTTCTAAGCATTTGTGTTTTCGAACATCGCCCGGATTTCTTATTTGGAGCATTTCATGCCTGTGCTCAAGTTGAAGGTATTACTGGCACGTACCGTATAAAAGATGCGAATTTTCACACGTTTTTATTGCCGGAGAAAAGTGATTAGGGTTAGCAATCCTGAACGCTCGCAACGTCCGTCCGCAACCCGCGACGCCGTTAGAGGCTGCGCCAGGCAAAAGTCGCTCATTTCTTTCAAAATGCGTTACAGACTTGAGAGAGAAGTGTACTAGTCTGGTGAAATAAAGACTTTCCTCAAACTAAGCTTTATTTTTCATCTAACATAAAATAAATTCTTTTACAAAGGTAAGTTGTCTGATGGCATGCATTTTGGCCTGAAAAATTGATGTTTTGGTTATAGTGTGGTACCGCTTATAGTGCAGATTTTCGCGACTCCCGTGACGTAAGTTATATGCGGTCTACACTGTACAACATACACGCGGGAACAACTCGCGTGTTACGGGAGCCGATATTGTGTGTGCAGATCATGGACAAAAACGTGAGAACCCACTATGAACGTGTGTCAGATGAGCAGGTACAGCAAACTGCGCAGGTGATGCGATTCTTGTCAGACATCGCGTGACGTCCGACGGGGATCAGGGGGTGGGCGATGTTATGGAATTTTTACCTTACAGATATTTAGCCAGAGGAACACAATGGGCGATTTTTCGGAAGCAGGCGTTCACTTGAAACTTTATGGCAGTTGTTCCTGCGTGTATATTGCATCGTGAAATGCGATTCTGCTGCGTCCGCGATCTGCAGTAGTTGTTGCTGTGACACGCGAGTTTATAGCAGATTCCAACGTTTTTGTCCGCAATCTGCGAGCGCGATATAGGTTACCATGACAGGCAAGTTTGTAGTGGGTTCCCACGTGTTTATTGCACCCCGAAACTTGAGTCTGCTGCGTCCGCAATCTGCAGTATCTGTTCTCGTGAGCTGAGAGTTTTCAGCGGGTTTCTGCGGGTCCTTCACACCGTGAAACGCAAATCTGCTACAACCGCAATCCAAGGTATCTTTTCCTATGACACAGGAGTTTGTAGCAAATTCCCGCGTGTTTATCGCATCGTGAAACGCGAATTTGCCATTTCCGCAATCTATGGTATCAGTTCCTGCGTCACGTGATTTGTAGCAGGTGCCCCAGTGTTTATCATTAATTTTTTATAAAGTTTTGCTGTGGCATCCCCAAAGATAGCCCACCCCACGTTTTTCACCATTTATCTCCTCATTTTGGGTGGCTATTCTTACGGAATAATATTATGAATGGATTATCTGCAGTGTCCTGTTGCTAGATTTCACCACTATCGAAACTGGATTGCTCAACATTCAGACTTCAAGGCAACAGTAGATAAACTCACATCCTCTTCTGGTGCTTGCTCCTCGGAGTGGAGTTTGGAATGATTGGGTCGTGTGCGCTGGAAAGGAATGAGAGACAGACAAAACATATCTTCATATTATAGAACATTCCTCACAACTCACATCCCAACGTGAGTTGTGATGATTCCGAATAAGAAGGTATTTCAGAAAAATATCTATGCATAAAGTATCCCTATCGAGAATACCCAAGTTTTCATAGATTTTGCCTCCCAAGTGGTGTAAACATAGGTTAGGGGCAAGCACATGGCATTAGAAGTATGGGTTGGTTTCTTTATAGATAGGCAGGGTGCTTTAGATAACCTCTGCATTCTTTTCATTGCAAAAGTTAATACAGCTTAAGAAGACCCGAGTATGGCGATGTCTCAACAATAGAGACACTGTTAATAAGTATATCTTGCTATACAGACAAAATTTTCCGGAACGAACTGGTTAAATACATGCATTTTTGCCTCATTGTTATGGACAACTCACATTGTGGACGATTTTTCGGGGGTGTAGGGGTGCCCGTATGAACGGGATATCGCTGCATAATATACACCGTGGTGCACTACGTCAAACTCTTTTTCACCATTCTTTATTCTCGAGTAAAAGTGCATCTTAAACACTGGACAATATGGTGCATCCGCATAACCAAAGATAAAACCCAGTGGATACTCGAACAATTGCGTGATTTGGGGCAGTGATGAAAACGAGCAACTTACTTGGCCGGCAGTGAATCAATGTCTCTAATCTCTCTCGTCTTCAGCAGAGTAAAGCCGTCCACCACGTAAAAGTGTTCTTTTCCGAAGAGCAACAGTCCTTCGCACGTGTCCAGGCCTTGCACGCGGGCACAACGAAACATGTGCGTAATCTGAGGCAGAGACGTGCAAGCAAGGAACAGGTTTAAGTTAGAAGTTTACAATAACTATATCTTTTAAATGATCACAGCCATTCTCAAATGGGGGTCCCTGAAGGCTTTCTTAGGGTACCCGAAGCTCTCAACTGTTAGTCTGGTAACGCTGAGCAATAAACCATTTTTCTTTTAGTGATGCTGACAGTCTCTCAACGCTAGATAGACCAAACCATGTGTGCCTTGTTAGTAGGGCTGATCATTCCCTGCTTCAGGGTTTCAAAGTTGGTTTGCACACATTTAGTTTTCTTCATTTAGCCCTTTGCAATTGCAAACATCCAATACTCCCCCTCTCCGCTCCGCCCGCCCGCCCCTTCCCTTCCCCCTTCCCCCCCCCCCCCCCCCCTTCCCCCCCCCTCCGGTGGATGGGGTCTCCCATCCCTTTCACTGATCCAGAGCGGGTCCCCAAAACACAAGTGGCTGAGAACCACCGCTATATCGTATCACATTCGTTGAACGCATTACCCTGCGCGCATGTAGCTGGTGGTAGGTATGTAACACAAGCGTGCTGCCCGCTTCGTCGCTTACAAACTGAGTCATGGACGCGGAAGTGCACAAGGTTTGCTCGGAGATGCTGCCGCATTTAAAAGAGTAGACGGGCTCGAGCGAAAGAGCGAGTAGGGAGCCAGTGTGTCGCACCTTTTCGCCTTCCTCGAGCAGCCGGAGCACGCTCTGGTTGTCGGGCGTGTCGTCCTTGCGTGCCGTGCCGTCCTGCTCCGAGGAGTCCGTCGTGGGGTCCAGGCTCTCGCTGTCGTCCTCCTGTTCGCTCGCGCTGCGGTTGCTCTGCAGCCGGGTGCGCAGCCCCTGGAAGCCTTTCGTGGCAAGCAGAGGGCGTGCTGTTCGAACCTTCACGCGGAAAGCTATGTGCGTGCAAAGTCGAAGGCATTCTTTGTAGCCTTTTTGGGAAGCTTCGCGAATGACCTACCCGTGCAGTTGAGGACCTTGCACGCTTAAAAAACCAGCTACCAAAAATAGTAAAATGAATTGGTAGAAGCTGGCAGCTCACCATGTGTGCTACATGCTTTGTCATCTGGCTTCAGTCAAAAACAAAGAATGCGTCGTTTAGGCCCTATGCGGAAAGCTTCGATCGTGCAAACACAAAGGAGCTTTCAGCGTGAAAAGCGTGGGTTGAGAACCGGCCACGTGTGCGGTGACGGGAAGGAGCCCGGGTTCAAGAAAATCTTCCTAGCACTTTTAAGAAGCACTGCAAAGAACTCGTGCCTGTTGGTGCGGGTTTTACCGCCCAACTAAAAAATGCTGCAACACCCACAATCTACCGTAAAATCCCGAGAGATAGCCCACCTAACATCAAGAGCAAATCGGGTGAAGATATGGTGTGGGCTAACTTTCAATGTACAATCAAGAAAAGTTAAAAAAATTGCTATTTTAAGGTTGTGTCCCTTCTGGCAACGAAGCAAAGATATCTGTACTTCCCAGTCAGCAATGTTCGTGTATATCCTACCATAGCTAACTACCGCATTTACGCTGAGGCCATCACTGATTTCAACACTACGATTAATAGGAATGGGCTATCTTTCGGTGTTTAAAAAGATATAGCCAACCAAGCCAAAAATAGGGATGGGCTATCTTTCGGGGGTGGGGCATCTCTCGGATTTTACGTAGGCGTGTTTTGATTGTATTAAATAAACCCAGACACACAAAATTTGCAAATGAGCTGGGCACATGCTACGTCACATGACACCTTGAGGTCACGTGACTCTATGACGCCACGTGGCACCGTGATGTCATGTCACGTGATATTCTGTCACATTATATCAAGATATCACATAACACTCGAAGTTAACATCAAATCACATTTTGAAGATGCGTTCCAGGGTGCCATAAGTGGAAGGGAGAGTGCCAGGCACCCACCGATTTCCCGCTCTTCGGCACTGTCCCCTTCCTGAGGCCAGTCTTCGGAGGAGATGGAGACAATGTCCGGGGAAAATGTGTCATGCTCTACAAGGCTGTCGGGCCTCCAGTGCTTGTAGTACTCCTTGCTATCAAAGCTGGTGGCAACCTTGTACTTCAAGGCACGCTGCGTGACAAGGAAAAGACACAGCCACTGGTTATGGGACATTCTGAGCCAGAGCTATGGGCACGATGCGAGACATCAACAACTACATTTAAAAAAAATATGCTATTAAAAAAAAAAAAAAATCCCATGGTTTGAGAGTAGAAATTTAATATAAGGAACAACACATACATAGTCTTGTGCGAATAGTGGATTTTGAGTTCGAAGAGAATAGTGATTTTGGCCAAATATTTTCGATTCAAATATTGAATAGTTCTTCCACGTCTTTCACTACCATTGCATAATGCTTAGATGAAAACTCAGCTAAACTTGTGAAGGTTGTTGCACTTGTTCATTTATAAGTTAAGATTAATCTATTTATATTTATGAACTGTGACCTCAAAAGGTCTGATGTCTTGGGATGGCAAGTAAATGACGGATGGCTAACCATACCCAATTGAGTGAATTTACAAATCTTGCTATATAAAATAGTTTTCTTTAATCTCATGTCAAAAAAGAAAGAATCGCACATGATGAATGCAGGTTGTAAGGGCATCTCTGAAACTTTTTGAATTTTTGAATTTTGAAACTTTTACTACAATGTAGATATGCACATTCACAAAGTTTCCATTTATTTTCATACACAGCCCGTACACGTGCACCATCCCGCTTTGAATGCTTGCTTTTCTTCCAAGCATGCAATCGCAATATTCATACTTTTCCAAGTGTTTAACGCGGCAAGTTACCCCGTTGAGTGCGCTTCTTCCCTAGCACTGATGTAATGCAGAGAAGCAACACCCACGGAGCTCACTACCGTGGGTATTGCTTCTCCGCAGTGCACCGGTGCTCAGTAAGAAGCGCACTCAACAGGGCTAACCCGTCGCAATTATCACTTCGAAAAACGCGAATAGTACAGTTCTTCTAGAAGCGAATATTGAAAAGTGAATTATTCGAAAATACTATTCGAAATTTCGAATATTCGCACAACCTTACGTGACGTACGAGATGGGGATGAACGGGTATTGTTCTTATTTTATTTCTTCGGTTGAACATTGGAAAGGTAAACCAACATGCTTTTCATTTTATTCTAACGAACAACTAAAAGCAGCAAAAATAATAATACTCACAACCGTTTCTGTTTCGTAGCATGTAGAAAATCCTGCACTTTGCACATGACCACATAAACAACTGTTCCTTTACTTCTGCAGCCCCAATTTCTTGAGAAGCATATCTACTAGAGACATTATTTCTATAGGTATCAGTGAGCTTTAAAATAATGCATTTATGTCAGGAATGCTTGCATGCCCATGTGTTTCAATGTTTCATGATCCTAGCCACTTGCAAATTAAGTGTACATCAGGAGTTCATAAAAAAATTACGCAGCAGATTCCTACAAGCATTGCAACCACATCTTCCTATAGCCCACGGTGCTCCGTCGGTGACATTACTCTCCCCCACTGCACAGGCGCGGCAAACCCCACCGGCTCCACGCCTTTCGTTACAGTGGATCTGTATCACTCTGCTTTTCTTCGTGCTTTTCCTGAGGCATCTCCGCTTAAACCTTGAGCAACCCGATGACTTTCATGACATAGCGTCTGATATGACGTGTCTCTGCCAATGGGAGCGCGTCACAGCCATCTTAACTGCCGTTTATTGAGATGCCCGTTTTTCGCGGTCAGAGTAAACGCCGGCTGCGCAACATGGGACAGTTAATGCTTTCGCATTAAACCTTTGGCTTTACCGTATCACTTTCCCCAAGACTGAAACACTTTTGTAAATGTTCTGAATGTTAGAAAAGAAAAAAAAAAGCTAGAACGGTTATATGAACCGATTATTAAAAATCATGAGCCAGTCCACTCTGAGAAGGTGGATGACCAGCAAAGCTGTTTAGCACACGACACAGACCTGACTTGAGGAGCCGGAGAAAACTAGACACGCGCAACCGGATCGCCACCCGGCGGAAAGTAGACACGCGCGACGGGACCGCCACCCCGAGAGAGCGGAAGGAAAGGAAACTATTCATGCAAGCGCTTGGAACGACAACAAAGAGAGGGCAGTGCGAGCATAGACATGGCCGACAAGGGTCGCACAGTGGCAAATCTTTGAGAAACCTTTAATATCTACCTGAGAGTCTACTGATCTTGAAAATGCTGCCTATTGATAACTAATCCACTGAATAGACCTACTGCTAAATTACCCAAGCATCAAAGAGAATGCAGGGAATGGTGTTCCACGTGCCGCACATGCCAGTGTCTACAGCAGTAACTGGTCTAAAGCAAAAGCCTAAAACAAATGGCACTTAGCATGTGCGTTCCTCAACAATTTAGTTTGGTTATTTACTTTCAATCTTTTTTTACGGGGAAGGTATGCTTGCGTGGCGAAGGCATCTGCAGCAGTAACTATTCTAAAGCAAAGGCCTAAAACAAATGGCGTCTTGCACGCGCATTTGTCAATGCTTTATTTTGGTTATTTACCACGTATCTTTTATACGAAGAAGGCGTGCGCGTGCAGCGCGTGCAGCGGTCCGAGCATAGAGTTTTTAGTCGCTGCACACGAAAAATCCATGGAACCCTAGCCATGAACAGCTTTACTGTAAAACTGTTTAAGGTCATGTCATCCGATCTGACCAAGAAAAAGCACAGAGAGATGAGAAATTACAATTTTAAGCTTTATCATGTACAAACAACACAGTTTTTTCAATGGTTTTGTAGCGTGAGCAACACTGGCCAAGGTTGAGCAGTTTCGCGTGGCTCACATAATGAGCCGTGCTCCGTGCTGTGCATGCGTAAGGAGCGGTGACGTCACAAGACGCACAACTGGCGCGCCAGTGGCGCCGCTGCCGCCACCACGCTTGCCTCGCCGGTCTGCACATTCCAGGGGAGTGACGTCATAGCCGCGGCATATGCACTGGCGCCACCGTGTGCCCAGCTGTGCGCCTCCGTTGCGCAGTAGCCAAGTCTGACGCTGCACCGGAGCCGCTTGATAGCATCTCTCACCTTGTGCGCATAAGCTCACGCTACGTATATCCTCGCATAGCCGAGCTAAGCCACCGCAATTTCTTTCATTTCAAAATGAAATGACAAAGCTTGCACTGGATCAAATATGGCAACAGTGGACCACTCACATTCTCGCCTCCTTCCACGTCAGGCCGGTACGGGTAGTGCAGATAGAACAGGTCGTTTTTCACCATCTTCTTGCGCATGCGGCAGGGGCCGGCTGCGAGCACAAGCATGCTTTTGTTTACAAACACAGACTGCGAGCGACTAATGTAGTCTTCTTAATGAAGAGTGAAGCATCATAAACTTTGGACACCAAATGCTTGAAGGCGAGCCAGATGCAAGATGAAACATTTAACGGGTGGCACGATACGTCGGAAAAAGCTAGATTGCAGCTGTGCAGATTGCACACCAGGAAACTCAGAGGACATGATTCACCTAACACCGTTCCAACGCATTGCACGACAAGTCAGTCATTCGGTTGTCCATGTATCTGGCGCTTCGCTACAGCGACGAAGCGTTCCGGTCGTCTAATCCGAGATCAGGTCTCTACCAACTCAATGAAATCTCCAAAGGTATGTGAGCTCAGCATGTCAAAAATAAGGCTTAGAACCAGACATGAACATGAGAATATTCTTTTAGTTTTGATTTTCTTTAGAATTTCTCTATGAGGCCAGAGGACAGCACTCTTTTTCACATTGTCAAAAACCTGCTCTCCCTCCCTCTCTCATTCTGCTAAATGTTGTCTCTCATCGTCTCTTTCTGTTGCCCGAGCAGGGGAATAGTGAAAGTATAATGTGGGGCGTAGCCTTTAACCTCCTCGACTATGTTTGGTGGTGACGAAGTGAAAGCAGTAAATTCTCATTAAATCGAAGTCCTAAAAACTAAAAAAAAATTTGAGATATGTGAAACACCAAATTTTCATTGCAGTTTTCGCATTGTGCGATACGGTAAAACCCTTCCAACAATCGCGCTAATTGACTTGACAGTCGCACGGCGCCGGTGCGGTGGGGAGAACAAACTTACTGCAACAAAATTGTCAGCGAGCAACATTAATAAGATGAGACGACAAGACTGGAAAACCGGAAAGTAAGAATGCAAAAAAAAGAAGAAGAAAAACCGAAAGAACGCACAATAAGGAATGAAAAGAGAAAAGATAGACAAACATTGAGCGCGAGAAAGAGAGACACATTGGCACCGCACGCCAAGCCAAGATGCAAGGGACTTGCATTTTTGCTTGGCGTAAGACAACAAACGTCCTTCAGGCTCACCCTGCTCCGCACGTTGCCACGCTGATGACGATGACATAAGACTTTATTTTTTTTTTTGCGTATTGCTGGGCGTCAGCGATAATGCCAAACTTCGTTTTCTTTTTTGATGTGAAACATCTTTAATTTCGGTCAGTAGGAATCACTTGGTAAAACCGCATGTAATGAAAACATTTTACACTAATATTGCTTATATCTTTGCAACCGTACTACCCGCACGCCTTGCTCTGGTACCGTTGCATAAAAAAAAAAGTAGGCATGGGCGAATAGAGGATTTTGGGTCCGAATCGAATTCGAAGCGAATAGTGATTTTGGTCGAATAATTTCGAATAGAATAGTTCGAATAGTACTAGCAAAAAAAAAACCACAAAATATGTTTAAACTATAGTTTTATATTTGCCCTTATTTGGTATTTGATATACTGCAATTGTTAATTTCAAGTGCATTGAGTTCGGTAGCACGAAACGGTCGGAAGCTTGCGCCACCTGGCCGTAAATCCAAGCCAGAGTAAGTGAAACCCGTTTATATTGAACTTGCAAAAAAAGTCTACCAGTTCGATATAGCGGGTAATTAGATATAAAAGTTTTAATGAACTTGACTCTCAAAAATCCCCTTTCTGCTGAAATATTACACAATGAAGTAGTCTTGCATCTTCTGCTGCTTTTTCTTCATTGCATCTGTGATAACGATATTTTTCTACGCTATCGACGGACTCCAAAATTCTTGGGCCGCTGCCTTCTATATTCGCGCATTAGCGCCGAAATATGCCGAGAGCACGGAGCACGTCCAACGGGAGCACCGCCTGCAGAGCGCCGTTTTGCTCTGTAAGTTGGCTTTCCCCTAAAACAGGTGGTGCGTTGGGGGAAGCCAACTAGCAAAGCAAGCTGGCTTTTTTTTCTCTCTCTGGGCGGCCGCGTCAATTTGGAAGAAAAAATAATACAGGTGGTGCGTTGGGGGAAGCCAACTAGCAAAGCAAGCTGGCTTTTTTTTCTCTCTCTGGGCGGCCGCGTCAATTTGGAAGAAAAAATAATATTCTCTTTTGCGGACGGAGCACGGAGCACCGTCTCTCCGCAAAAGATATATTTTATTTTTTTCTGAACAATCAATGCGGCCGCCCAAAGAAAAAAAAAAAAAAGTTAGCGTGCTTTGCAAGCTGGCTTTCCCCCAATGTGGCTGCGCGTTGGGGGAAAGCCAGCTTGCAGAGCAAAACGGCGCTCTTGGCAGTTCCGATATATCGGTAACGGCTGCTATTTTTGTTCGATGCAACCAGTTTTTGCTATATATTATCACTGTAACATTACTGTGCACGACAATTGTTCGATATAAGGAATAATTCGATGTAAACGGGTTCGATATAGTCGGGTTTGACTGTATTTCGAAAGGTCGAATAATTCTATATTGTCGAATAATTCGATATTGTCGAATAATTCGATTTTGTCGAATACTTAAATTCGATTCGAAGCGAATACCGAATAGAACAGAATTCGATTGGCTATTCGTATTAACCGAATATTCGCCCATCCCTAAAAAAAAGTAATTACTTGATCATGCACGTGTTGAGTGTGCAGATGGCGCCGTTGTCGTGCAGTGCACGATGCAATCGAAGCAAAATTTAGCCTCGTGCGCGGCGTTCACAGAGGAGCTGCTCGGCAGTATGTTTGTCGATCCGAGCGAAAGTAATCGCATTTGAGAGAGAGTTCACTCTGCCCTAGTAGGTGTAATCCATCGAACTCAAACCGGTGCTCATCAGGAGTTATAAGGCTTATGAGTGTGCAATCCGTTGCAAAAATTTGAAGGTTGCTCAACTATGGCACCCTTGCATTCGACACATAAGGTCCAGAAATGGCCTGAAGAGACTCGAGCGACAAGACAGAGAAATGACAATCCTCGCCCACCCCCTTTGACCATAGCGGAACGTGTCCGTCTCCACAGGGTGCAAATAGGGAGCGAGCACAATTAGACTCCAAGACTCCCACTAGCTGTAACATAAGTTAAGCATGCAAGTATCTTAATGCGTGAATAAATGCAGATTGTGCGTTTGGTTACGTCATTTCTGTACCCTATTGCCCCATACGCCCCCTGCATCTTGCACAAGACAATTCAGGTACCCCACTGCGGCTGCGTCCCCGAGGCAGCCTACCAGATTTTGTTCTCTTTCTGTGTGTTTGCTTTCGGATGGCTGCTTTTTGATCAACCAATGTTTGGACCACTAGCTCATTGTTTGCTGTGCCCTGCCTGTTTTTACAGCGGAGCTGTTAAGGGCTAGTTTCCCCAGGATTGTGTCCCCCGCAAAGAAATGTCGACACAAAACTTTGGTTGCCGCCGTCGCTCATAGATGGAGGTAGCTGTCCAGAGTGTTGTGTTCGCCGGCTGTCTGCTTGCTGCCGTTGCTCACAGAGCGCGGCATTTCTTCGAAGGGAGAAGAGCGGGAACGGAACGAGCGGCGATGTGCGCAGCAGCGCGAATGGTTTCGCAACTGCTGCGAGGCCGCTATCGCCTGAAGTTCAACTGCGTCGGGCGCTTCAGATTTCCTTGCGAAAGAAGAGCAGATTGCTCGCCTGGAAAGCCACCGCCGAGAACAGAAGCTACAGCTCCGCTGCTCTTCCTTCTTCACCAGAGTGGAAAGGCTGAAAGTTTTTCTTTAAATTTTCGTTGACAAGATTTTTACATATTCGAGGTCCCTTCTGAGAACTTTCCAAGATAAGCCACGAGTAAATGCACTGGGCCTTTGGGAGTTCATTCCCATGACAACAAGAAATCTTTCAACTTAACCAACATTTTGAGATAGCCGAGTTCCGAGTTGATGAGGGATTACTGTAGTATCTGATATGCCGTTTGTGGAATTCTCTACTTCTTCAAAGCAACTGTGTAACAAAACTCTTATTAGCTTTATTAAGTGTTAGATGGCATCATATTAATGAAGAAAATGGTCAAACTTCTTTCAGTTATCTAATGCGAAAAAATTGTTGTTGAAGTTATTATAATTAGTAATATACTACAGGAGAAGCGCTATGAGCCTTTATTTTAATACGTAGAAGAGTAGTACACAGATTTCTGGCACCTCGTCATTAAAGCAACAACATGGCGTCTGCGCATCCATCAAGAACTTGTTAAGTACAGGAATAATGTGCGCTCATGCAAACAATAGTGTAGTATTTAGTTTGTGTTAACGCTTGCCTGAAGTGGAACTAAGATCCTCCGACGAAGCACATGTGATGTATGCCACGGGACGCTTTCTTCTGAGTACAAAATACTCTAACATGAACAAAGTCTAATGCAGCCTAAAAAACGTAGGACAAGCTCCTCCCAGAAAGCCCTCCACTCTTTCTACTTTAGCGGAGTAAACGTTGAAGAGGAGAAACCACCAACCATGATGAGCAGCGAGTTTCCCTCGAGCTAACGAGATAGACACAATCGATGCCAAGGCTCAGGAGAAAATGTTAAAGAAGCAAAGGCTAAAGGGCCTCATCCCTAGAGAGCCATATCTTGTACAATCCAGTTACGGCCAGTGGAGTAGGGTCTGTATACACAGAGTCTGCACCAGCACAGCCGTGACTCCCGCGGCAAGGAAGAGGATACACAAAGAAAAAAACCGGTACCTCCGTCAGACGACCAATATTACAAAGGCCAAGCCATGGCAGGCATAGATGGCACTTTCTGGGAATATCCCAAATACCATCGGTACAAGCAAGACCTTTTAAATAGGCATGGGCGAATAAAGGATTTTGGGTCCGAATCAAATTCAAAGCGAATAGTGATTTTGGACGAATAATTTCGAATTGAATAGTTTGAATAGTACAAGCAACAAATATCACAAGATATGTTTAAACTATAGTTTTATATTTGCCCTTATTTGGTATTAGAAGTACTGCAATTGTTAATTTCAAGTGCATTAAGTTCGGGAGCACGAAATGGTCGGAAGCTTGCGCCACCTGGCCGGAAATCCAAGCCAGAGTAAGTCAAACCCATTCATTTCAAACTTGCAAAAAAGGTCTACTAGTTCAATATAGCGGGTAATTTGATATAAAAGTTTTAATGAATTTGACTCTCGAAAATCCACTTTCTGCTGAAATATTACACAATAAAGTAGTCTTGCATCTTCTGCTGTATTTTCTTCATTGCATCCGCGATAACAATATTTTTCTACGCTATCGACAGACTCCAAAATGCTGAGGCCCACTGCCTTCTATATTCGCGCATTAGCGCCGAACTATGCCGAGAGCACGGAGTACGTCCGAGCAGGAGCACCTTCTCCTGCAAAGCGCCGTTTTGCTCCGCAAGTTGGCTTTCCCCTAAGACAGGTGGCTGCGTTGGGGAAAGCCAATTAGCAAAACAAACTTTTTTTTTGGGGGGGAAGGGGGTGGGGGGCGGTTGCGTTAACCGCTTGGAAGAAAAACATTCTCTTTTGTGGACGGAGCTGGGAAAGGGAGCACGAAGCACCCTTTTTCCGCTTCCTCTGCAAAAGATTTTTCCTTTTCTTCGACCGCTCAAAGAAAGAAAAAAAAAAAAGAAAAAAAGAAAAAACCAGCGTGCTCTGCAAGCTAGCTTTCCCCCAATGCGGCCCCCCGCATTGGGGGAAAGCCAGCTTGTAGAGCAAAACGGCGCTCTTGGCAGTTCGATATATCAGTAGCGGCTGCTAGTTTTGTTCGATGTAACCATAGTTTTTGCTATATGTTGTGGGAGCCACTGGTTTCCCTCCCCCGAGAAGGCGTAAGCCGAGGCCGTTCCGGGCGAAGCCGTCTGACTAAGAGCCCGGTCACTCCGTATCGTGTCGGAGAGACTACGTCACCATGCTGACCTGCTCTCTCGCACTCCTCTGCGCGTCTCCCCGATTTCGGGGGAACAGCGACATCGCGCGAGAGAGAGTCGGGCCTGGCCACACCGAGTCGACGACAAGCAGCGTGAGACGAGCAACGTCCCCAGTGAGTGGCGCTCTGGGTTGCGGAAGGACTTCGTGTCTGAGCCTTCGTTCGTCCGACATCCGGGAACTTGGATTTATTCTACGGCACCAGAGTGCATCGCACCAGCAGCGCGTCGTGAACTCCGGTATGTGGAACATTTACGGCAGCAGTTCCGGGTGCTACCAATGCCCCCGTTTTTTTTATTTGTAAGCGCGACTGGCACCTGTGTTGTCAGCGTGCAGGTTTTGTATTTTGGGGGTTTGAGAGCCGGCGCCCCTTTCTCTGGAAGGGGTGCCAAATGTTTTAAGGAGGGGGGATTGTGGGAGCCACTGGTTTGCCTCCCCGAGAAGGCATAAGCCGAGGCCGTTCCGGGCGAAGCTGTATGACTTCGAGCCCGGTCGCTCCGTATCGTGTCGGAGAGACTACATCACCATGCTGACCTGCTCTCTCGCACTCCTCTGCGCGTCTCCCCGATTTCGGGGGAACAGCGACATCGCGCGAGAGAGAGTCGGGCCTGCCCTCCGAGTGGACGGCCGTGTGGTCAGGGAGTCCTGGATTGGACTCCAGGCAACGGGTCGAGTCGCAACGCGAGCTCGTCCGACCGGCGATGACTCCACGCTAGTGATTCCCCGGGCTCTGACAGTCGACGTCCCCACAACCTGTAGACGTCTGTCTGCCGAAAGCCCTGGCCCCGAACTCCTGTGACGACGGGTAGCGGCATGAGCTTGCCCGACCGGCGATGACTCTGCTCGCAATTACCCATTTGGCTCTCAGGTCGGCGGGCGATGCAGGCACACTGTGACCGCGGCTCGCTTGACCGCAATGTCTTGTTGGGGACCTCTCGTACTCAATAAATGCTGTTGGATACCGGGATCATCGTTGTTGGCATGGCGTTGGCCGAACCCGGCGCGGCGACCGCCCTCGCTGGTAGCCGTCGGCCGCGCGGTGGGACGGGCATCGGATTTCCCCTTTGAGCACCGGACTGGTCCTCGGACGTAAAGGTGCGTAATCCTCCCTCCTTTTTTATTCCCACAATGTTACCACTGTAACATTACTGTGCACAAAAATTGTTCCATATAAGGAATAATTCGATGTAAACGGGTTAAATATAGTCGGGTTTGACTGTATTTAGAAAGGTAGAATAATTCCATATTGTCGAATAATGCGATATTGTTGAATATTTAAATTCGATTCGAAGCGAATGCCGAATAGAACAGAATTCGATTGGCTATTCGTAATAACCGAATATTCGCCCATCCCTACTTTTAAACAAAATTTCCAGTGTACAAAGACCAACAAGATGGTTGGAATGAATCACCCCAACTGGGGAAGTGGAGCACGGCGAGGAAATCCGGCTCCCTGCTGGACACGATGGAGTCAGTGGGTCCCTTCTCCTTTGTCTAAACCACCCTCACTCGCCTACGTCGTCCCGTCATCCCCCAACCCAGATAACTGAAGTCGAGCGAACTCGGTGCAACTTTTTGTATTAAACATTTATTCATTGTGAGCAGAGAGCATTGTGTGAGGGGCTTGTCCCACGCTTCTTCACCTGCAAAATACTATAGCTTGAAACCTTAAGTTTGCTCGGACCGTTAAAGTTTGCAACTGCAGACCTTGAAGGTATGGAGATCTGGCTGCTCTCCTCCGGCGCTGACCCCCCGGCAGACTTATTCCAGCCATTCAGACTTCGTCGCGGGCCCGGCAGAAGCTTCACGTGCCATGCCTCCGAGGTGCGTCATGCCTCGGGGGAGCGACAATGGCCTTGTGCACCACAAGATCTGTGTACAACGCTCCCCTATGCCAACTGACATCACGCGACTGGCTTTTCGGAATAAAGGACCCAAGGCTTAATAAGGAGATGCGGAATAAAGAGGACTCTCTCTCAGACGGCGGGTCTCTCGGGCGGCGGCAACGAAAGATGGAACGGCGGATAGCAAGGAATGCTAGCGCGGGAATCGACGGGATACGTCAAGTGGCGGGCTCGACGAACGGATTGGACAGCGACCCTGGGCGACGACATCCCCATGACGCGGTGTGGACGACTACTGCTGGGACTTGGAGCAGCTGCAGTTGCAGCGGACTTCCCCCCTGCCTTGCTGATGACCGTTCCTCGATCCCAAAACTCCCCAGGCAATAAGTGAGTGAATAAACCCTTTTGCCGAGAGCAAAGCATTGTAGTGTCATGTTCCTCCGGGGACAGGGTCTGAGAAAATCGAATTTAGAAGCCCGCATAAACTGAGTTCATGCGGACTTTATGTTGGATGGTTTCAGAAACTTCCACCGCGCTTACTCACTTTACTTTACGGATCACTGGCGGCAGTCGTCAGTAGCACCCACGACGCCAACCACGACGGCTACGAGATTTACTCACGTCGCACCTTCGTTCTCACGTACGTGATGGCAACAATCCAACCGCATTGTGCGACCGTGCTACAGCTATCACTTTCGTTTCTTTGCACAATGTGAATGAAAAATACAACTTTTTTTTCCTCTTTCCCCCCTAGAAAGAGCGTAATTAATCTGACTGACTGATGGATTAATGGTTTGCCACTTGTGGTTTGTTGGGATCGCAGCCTACCAATCTCCCACCAATTTTGCGACCTTAGGCTTTCTCTCGAAACGGGAAGAGACATGCGTGCCCACCTTCGGTCATGTCCAGCATCCACTTGTCAAGGGGCGAGCCCTCCACGGGGCCCCACAGGCCCCTCTCCTGGGTGAGTTCAGACTCCGTCTGGAGCCAGTCCTCAAACACGTCCTTCTGGAGGTGCTGGTGGCTCTGCATTCCGGGCAAACCAAAAAGATTGTCTCTCTCGTAGACCCCCCCTCACCCTTCTTCCCTCCTCCTGGCAAAAATACCAATGGCATAGCCAGGCTTTTTTTTTTTTCTCGAAGAAGAGTATAAGTCGCTTTGTTTTCAAACATTTCTGTTGGTGCGTCTTGTACAATGGTGCAACTTAGACACATTTTTTAAAAATATATGTATGGATCTTAACTGCAGAAATTAGCTACAGGGGTTATTTTTCCCGTTAGATTCATTGATGAGAATATTGAAACCTGCTCTTGATTGTGCACATATACTGCGATCATAATCGACACATATGCGGGCCTTTCAATGCAATTTCGCTGTGCCAACCATACATATACTGTAATATTCAGAGAGTTACCCCCCAAATTTAATCCACCCATATTTTTGGTATGATTTGCTATTTTTTTTTCAAAAACACCGAAAGATAGCCCACCCTTAGTAATTGCAGGGCACTGGTCAATAGTGAACTCAGCAGAAATGGTGTTACTTAGAAACGGCAGGAGATAAGCAAACACTGCTGATTGGGAACGACAGTCAAATGTGGTTCATCGATCCTCCCTGCGATCACAAGTTTCACAGGTCACAAGTTTCACAGGTCACAAAATCTAAAACTAACACTTTTCAACTTTTTTTTTTTCCGTACTGAAAGTTATTTATTTCTTATTTTCACCCAATTTGCTTTTGATTTTTGGTAGACTATCTCTCGAGATATTACGGCAGATGCGACTTATACAAAGGTGCGACTTGCATACTCACCTTTTTATGAAAACGGCCATTTATAAAGAGTGCAACTTATAGACTGGAAAACAAGGCACATAGCAAGGTCGGCCGCATTTTAGGGAAGCATCAACCCCATAACCCGTGCCGCAACAAACCACCCCCCCCCCAGCTATGTCACTGAGTGGTACGGACAAGGACGAAAGGAAGAAGTAAACAGGACAAGTGTGTTCTTCTTATGTTTACCCAACTAGTTCAACAGTTAATTTTAGTACAATTTCTTATTCATTTTGAGTGAACGAGGAATTCTTGTTTCGAGTGAGAGTATTCACCATACCGCCATAAGAAAGTGCTATATGAAGAGGTGCGTCATAGCACACATAGTGCCTGAATAATTGCACAAGCTGAATGTATCCATTTTGAATAAGGATATTGAAAACTAGAATATTCAAATGGTAGTAATCCACTTACGAACAATAATGTTTACACAAAGTATAACCACAATCTTAGCTGCAATTTTGATTAAAGTGCTTGAGAGAGTGATCTAAAGTCAGTCACCTGCTGGTGTCGTTTCAGCTGCATATCCACAAGTTCCTGCACGATCGAAACGTGCACCTGGGTCCACATTTCCACTTCCTGAAAAAAATAAAACAGAAGCATGAGTTTGAGGCTCTGGACATGTATGATCAACGAAGGGGTTTGTCGATGGTGGCGGACTTAAACTCGGAATCGATGCAGATGTAAAAGACTGACTGGAGACAATGCTCCAGTCTCGTAACGTGATGCTAGTTCTGTTTCAGAAAAATAAACTGCGCAGGACTCACAGGAAAGGTCAAGTTACTGAGCGGGACCTTCGGAGCTTGCTCTCGCTTGATCTTGCGACTTGCGAGTCGAGACAAACCGCCAGTTACTTTTTGAAGTTTCTGCGAAAACAAAGGGAGTCGGTGATTAATAAGGGACCCATTTATGCCCATGGAAACAAACCATGCATTAAAACAGCAGTTCTCAAACTGGACCCCCGGGGTCCTCTAAAGCACCGGTCCTCAACCATTGATGTCTTGCAGACCCCTTGGTGATCGGCAGATCCTGCTGTCTAAACACCTAACAACTAACCTTTTTTTGTTCGCTTGTTTGCGTGTGTTTGTGTGCAATGCCGGCTAATCTTGCCATCTAAGTCAACTAAAAAAGGTCCAGTAGACTCTGGCTGCATTGGGTCACAGTATGCATGTGGGCATTGCCTAGAATATGTACAATGTGTTATGCACAAAACTTGATGGTGTGTGCACAGATGTCATATTACAGGAATTTGTGACAAGTGAGACTGCTATAAATAGACTGCACCCAGTTCTACTATTCAATACATAGTTGAGACTTAAAATCACCATTGCGTTTTTAATTAAACAGCCGCAGTGAAACGGGGAGATTTGAATTTAATCTCCCACGTAATGTTTAACCAATTTATACCATAAAAAAAGATAATGTTTTAATCTGAAAGTAGCGATCCGGGCCCCACATAAAAACTCCTCCGTGCTTCCAGCTTTTCATGCGAGCGAGGTGCCCCGAAGAAGCTCTTGGTACCAAAGATCACGGACATTTTTGCAAAAACAAAGTTTTCATGCTAGAAGCAGCATTCCCCAAAATCACCAAAAAGTTAGGTAAGGTTGAATTTGAAATGATCCGATAAGCCTACGGTACTATAACCAAGTTATAAAGTGCATCTGCAAATGCAAACAAGTTTATTTCTATCAAACTCTCCGATTGAGAGAATGCCGCCGTTCCCAGAGGTCGAATGCGAGAGTGCCCCAATTTATGGTTCCAGGATTGCATTTTTGACTGGCGTGCTTAGCACCCCATCCCATCCCACCCACACAGCAAAACTAGTTCCGAAGTGGCAACAAATGATGTCACACGAGCAGGCCCGTCACGTTGTCGGATGATGCAATCCTGGCGGTTGCTGCCGGAAGTCCCCGCAAAAGGTATGAGCGTTGCAGCTCCCCGCTGCCGGAGCTTCCGTGGTCTGTCAAGCTAGACGGCGACCCGCAGCAGCACGGGCGTCTGCCACATCCGGCACCGCTGCCGGGACACCACCAGGATTGCGACCGGCAACGACTTGACACTTCTATGACGTCATCGGGCGGAAATTGAGAGATCATTTTTTCGGACGCGGTAAACGCGCCAGTTTGAGATGCAATTTAGACACCATACCTAACCCCGAAACCTCTCCCTCGCCTGGAGATGCTGGAAACCAGCTCTTCCGAGCGGTGCCAAAGAGAAAGGGCCTTGGCATGGCATACCTGGCTGACGGTCTGCATCTGGGTTTGCATGACCTCGCGGGTGTAGCCGCTCTTGCGCTCCACCTCCAGGAAGCTCATCCAGGCCCGGCACGAGGGCTCGTTGAGCACCTCCCACAGCGATTGCAGGTCCGGGATCTGGCCCGTGCTGCCCTCTGCCGCCGGGAGGGACACCTTGCACAGCTCCTCCAGGGCCTGCACACAGGGGGTGCAGCGCGCAGGAACATTGTGTACGGGGCAGGAATTCTTTGGGGTTCTATGTTTCTGCAAGTGCAACTAAAAACCCCAAGTAGTAAAGTGTCTTTACAATTTAAGCACTTTTTTTTTTTAAACCAAATATGAGACATTCATTGATGTGGAACTATGAGCCAGAAACTGTCTAGAATGTGCCTTATTGTTTACAAAGTGTCTAGGCTTCTGCACCACTTTACTGCTTTATCACATTGATGCCGAGACCTTGGTTTTCAGTCAAGTCAGAGAGGGGTACCTCGAGATCAAAAAGTTTGAGAACTACTGCCCTAGCCTTATGTTTCGTACGCAAAAATTAGACATTCTTTGAGATGTCAGCATTCCTTTCAGACCCCCCTTATGCTCGCATCTCTCCGAAACGGTAGCGGCACGCCGGAAACGCACCTGTCTCTTCGAGAGGTAGACGATCTCCCACACTTTGCAGCCTGCAGAGGCAACCAACAGGTTCCCTTCCTCGGACGAGGTCAGGGTACGGTTGTCGGGTACATTCCGAGAGCGGTCCGCAAAGGACGCCGGGTTGATGTGCCATGTGGTCCGGCGCACCGTTTCCATACTGCGGAAATGCGATGGAGGGACATTTTTAAGCGAAAGACTGCACGGAAACAATTTCCCGGACGTGGAACAATTATTAAGAATCCACAAGCAAAAACAAAGCAAACCGAACTGCATTGTGAATGTGTGATAACAAAATGTAAATTTATGGGAAGGGACAACATTTTCTCACATTAACACCTTAGAAAATTTGAAAGCTCATTGTTCCCTCTAGACCCACTAAGGATACAAAATTAGGATTGTGAGAATATTCAAACAGTATACTTTTGACTAATACGCTACACAAAAATGAACGGCTGATCCTCGCCCCACCTGATTTGAGCATCGGCCGTCAGCTGCAGGAGGCAGTAACACAGGCAGGGGATGAACTCAGACTCGGAGCTGGCCGCAGTCAGCATGAGCGTCCGGTGAATGATCATCTTCTGGAGGCACTCCAGCTTCGTCATTTGGTCTGTAACAGACGAGACCATTCCGTGCGTCACCTCCAGAGTTTGTGATGATGTTGTTGCGAGGCGTGGACTCTCAAACTCTGTTCCTAGGAGTTCCCCAGAGGATCCTCCGAGCACCCAAATTCCCTTGCTCATCCCAGTTTTCAAGTAAAGCATTTTTCTAGTTTAAAGCGGTATTTTGGAAGACCTGAGCCACCCATTGATGAGTAAGCATGAGCCAAACGCTCTCTATGCTCCGCTTCACCTTACAACAAAATGCAGCAGACACAGAGAGAGCCATCACATGCTGTGTCGTGGGACCTTCTAGAGGGACGCTGCTGCAATGCACATTGTCATGTGATATCAGGGTGTCTAGCAAATTATTATTTTGAAATTCCCTGACTTTCCCAGGTTTTCCCTGACAATTTCAGGTGAAATTCCTTGACCATTGTAGAGGCGGTTAAATATATAAGACCATTACAACACAAAACATTTTTTATTAAATACATAAAGCACAATTATAATCAGCACAAATTAGGGTATCTGACTAAATGTCTAATATTGTACGTACAAAGTTTATGCAAACACAATCTGCTCTTGCTGCTTAAGAGTGTCAGTTATTCCACAAGAATTGTTCAAGCACACATCTTACTTCTTAAGGGAGTCGATTTTTTTCTTGAAGGAGACTGGCCTCCATTAGTGATTCACGGAGCAGCCTTCGCTTCTTTTCTTCTAGTTCTTTCACAAGAGCGGCCACTGAACATCCGACTCCTCCCGACTTTCTTCCTTCTTTTTCTGCAATTTCTCTCGAAAGACGCTGTAGGAATTGCGAACCTTCCGCACCATCTTGTCAGTAATTTCAATTGCATTGTCCACGCTGCCTGCTTCCAGCACAGCGTCGTGTACTACTCGCTGCGCTATGAGCGATTCTTCTTTCAAGTTTTTAACAATGCAGTCTTTGTTGACTGAAAAGCTTCTTTCTACGGCAGCATTGCCGTGAGACAAGCATAGAATGATCTTGATGAAAGACAACAGCTCTTTGTGAACATGGGAGCAGAGATCTGGCCACAAAACGTCCAACCTCTCTTCTTTCCTGTCAAAATCTTTCAGTTTTTTTCTGTGCAAGGCCCAGTGAACAGATCTGTACATAGGAACAATGGGCCCGTTCCGCCTGCAGACCGGTCAGCCACTGGTCCTCTGAAAGCACTTCAAGTGCGAAAGTCAGCTGTTTGCGGCCAGCCTCCAGAGACAATGCAAATGCTGGATCCAAGTAGCTGGCACACCTAGTTAGTTTATGCTTCAATGGTGACCTCTCCATCACCTTTCGAGAGGACACCTTAACGAAGGAAATGCAGTCCCTCTTGAATTTGAGCAAGGTGAGCTGTGGTAGCTTGGGCCCCTTGTGGAGTTCGTTCTTTGCGGCAAACCCAACGTCAAAGGCGGCTACAGCTATACAGTTCTCGGGTTTTTCTAAATCAACCTTGAGTAGCTTAAGGGGCGTGCGTCCACGGCATTCAGGATTTCCTTTTTAAGAATTCTGGCAAGCAGCGATTGTGCCGTTGAAAGAAAGGGAACCATTGGCTTGTCGGTCTGAAATTCTGCCAAAAATGGCTCCAGTTCTTCAGCAATCGACAGCATAAAGGCTAGTTTTGCCGGCAACAGCTGATCACAGAGTGCGTTCACAACGGCGCTGTAGCTGGAGCATGTCGGCCGCTTGTTTGCTTTTGTTGAGCACTCTACGAACTTTGCCAAGTTCGGAAGAACTTGTAATGCCCTAGTGATGACCTTGCCATTTTAGTGCCCCCTTATTGCACAGAACTTGAGAGGAAATAGTGTGCTCCTGGTGAACTTGGCATAATCGACATGATGAGCAGGCACATATTTGAAGAGGTTGTAGCTGCTGCGAAGAAATGCTACTACATCCCAACCAGTTGCAGCATGGCCTGCCTTGTATGCACCATTCATTACGTGCAGCCCACAACTTCCAATGTCCAGAATATTGTGGCTCCCATCCGATTCCCTCAGTTCTTCCTTCAGAGACCTTAGAAACTTCAAGTTTACATTTGGGCCATCCATAGAAACTTGTAGTATCTTCGCTCGCTTGCTTGATCGGTTCTGTGGCCTCCGTGAATGCTGATGCCAGGTCCTCCGCACAGGTGTGGCCCAGGAAGCACGAAGTCAGGTCCCAATATTGGACAAACACATCCGTTTGTTGCTTCTGAGTCACTTTGTTGAGTGACTCGTCAAACGAAACAACTACGAAATGCAGACTGGCGAGGCTTGTTAGCAACTTATTCCGAAAGTAGGGCGCGATACCATGGCAGATGGTACATCCTCCCTTGTCCTTCCCTAATTGAAGTTTTGCAGTGACTTCACATGCAAAAAACATGAGAGGGAAGAGTGAGGCCAACGCTGCTGTAGAACGAAGGGATCCGTGATTTGCTACCAAGTTTAGGTACCAAATTATCTCAGCCTTTGTCACAGCATTTTCCTGTAGAAAGCCGCTCATCGACGTCTTCACACTTGTTGGGCTGACCGCGGGCTCCTCCGGGGCAAATGTGCGGTCTCCGCTACATCCCGCCGAAACGTTTGTTGCTGCCGTAAAAAGTAACAGAAGTCCAGATTGGGAACGGCTTGACTGCGACTTCAAAAAAGCAAGGTGCTTTTTGCTTGATGCGTGACTGGAAACTGCCGTGTTTCCTATGTTGCTCAAAGAAAACGTTTTTCGGCACACTGAGCACAGAGCACTGTGAGGATCACTTTGCACGGGCTTAATCCAACTTGCATATTTCAATATATTCGGATTCATCCAGTCCGGATTAAACAAGCACCTTCTTGCCGCCGACATTGTCAACGAAGAGGCCACTTCTGGAAACACGACGGAAACACAACGCCCAACGACACACATCAATAACCGAATGTATGGCCACATCCGAAAGCGATGCACACTTTCGGATACTTACGGATTGAATTAGATTGGATTGCGGTCTGCGGCTTTCCCATTTGTAACTAAGTCTAGTGGCTTTAACTGGATCTAGCCTAGTGTCGTGCCCTTAATCCAATCCAATTGAGTGCATGGCTTGGGCTGAATTTGTCGGCTGTTCCCTTTGCATCGGATAGCACACACTACATCAGGTGAACAGAGCCCGCGTTCCGTACTAAGCAGAATTTATTGCCTATTTTTCTGCCCCCAAATCATGAAGCCTTTGCTCAGGGAACTCGATGGCGTTTCCGGCTCATTTTCCCTGACTGGGCTCGCTTTTTGACAATATCCCTGAGAATTCCCCGATTTTTCCCGGTACTTAGAATTTTCCCTGACAATTCCCGGTTTTCCCGGTCGCTCGACACCATGGATATGTCCTGTGATGCGTTCACACCGCTGGATTGGCTGGAATGACTCATGTAACGTTAGTTGTGGTTTGTTTCATTCTAAGATGAAATGGAGTGCAACACTATGTGCAATATTGTTTACAAGGTCTGTAGGCTTCTGCACTGCTTCAAAGCGTCAATGTCGAGACAGGGACGCAGTCAATGGCTGTAAATCCGTAAAGATGGGGTTCCTCAAAATAAAACGTCGGAGAACCTCTGCCGCAAGGCATAGAAGAATTACCTGCGACACATTCTGTCGGCCTGGACAGGATGAACAGCAGGGTACGGTTCATGCTCTTATAAACATTTTCTGTCTGCACGTGCAGTCCTGAAAGAAAACAAAGAGAAGAAAAAACACCTATAAGTGGAGGTTTATTAAGATAAGCCCTGCTGCCTTTGGCTGTGCATAGTTTGCACAATTTTTTAGATCTTGACTCAAGTGAAGAACTGTACCTTTTCGTTTCACCTGACCAAGGAGCTTGATTATAAAGTCTAGAACTTCGTGTGGATCCCGTGTGTAAACGTCTGAAAAACCGGAGATTAACACGCTTAACACAAAAGCTATTGACATTGGCACATGCAATGATTACGTCAGTGGCCCAGCACTATACGAGTTTTGCAACTCACTTTATAAAATTTTGCTTTTTAAAGCAAAATCTGTTATATAACTGGTCCCTAACCATTCAGGCAGAAAAAGAAACATGCGGAGACGAGACAGACATCATGGTGTACAGTAAAACCTCGTTATAACAAAGTTGAAGGAGCGATCATAATTATTTCGTTATAACCATTAGTTTGTTATAGCCAATGTCCATTTCTTCCCTAATAGCAAGCAAGGGGAATTATGATTGCTTTGTTATATCCATTAGTTTGTTATATCCCATTTTGTTATAACGAGGTTTTACTGTAATACCCCAAAACAACAAGGACGAAAACGAAGGGAGAACTGGACAGGACTCGGCGTATGCACTTGCAGCTCCGGAAGGTTTTCTCGCTCGTGCAGCCTAGACAAATTTTGAAGGAGACTTACACATCCTAGCTTCGGCTTTATAGTGAGCTATGAAATCCTACTTGCGGCTTTCTTAGAGCTGCTAGCAAAGCACACGTGCTAAGCTTGACTTTGGCAAACAACAATCATTTTTCTGTTGTGCAACTTGACCCAAGAAACAACAGGCGGCACAACTCACTCTGCCAGAGCTTGTCTACAAAGCAGGACGTCAGGTAGAAGATGTTGGGTGCAATGTTGGTGTACTTCCCTCCTGCCGTGATGGGCAGGGCCGCATGCTCTCCCAGCAGGACATCCGCGGCCAGGAGGTGCTCCCTCAGGGATGACAAAATCTCCGTGACAAACTCCTTCTGCTGGTTCAGTGTCGCCTGGCTCGGGTAAGCCTGCCCACATTCACATATAAAAAGAACAACATTATCTGAACAATTTGCATTGAGGATTTGGTTTCATTCCTGAGATGTGTTACAACTAAGGCGAGCCTAGTTATATCACAGTCGGGTATTTCACGTAATTGCTTATATCAAACAGTCCAAACATCCCCTTGAAAATCACATGTAATAGTATAGGAACATAGTTTTTTGTATCGAACTCCCATGGGAGGCAGACACCCGATACCTGGACAGACAGCTAAAGAATAGGAAAGAGCAGTCGTGAAAAAAAAGAGAAACCAAGGCAAAAAAAGTGTAGGATGGCAAAGCAAGGGGAAGAGCACACCTGCAGGCAGGGAGGGCAGGGAGTGTTCAAAACAGCTGGGTTGGAGGGACAACAACTGTTGTGAAATTGCACTTTGAACGTTTTGTATATCTCTGTTTACCTTTTCCTTTCCCCTATTATTGCTTTGCCAGTTTCATTTCGCCTTTTCTTTTCTTTTCTTTTTTGCTGTCTGACTTTAGTGAGCTTTCTTTTTTGTTGCTTGTTCAACATTTTTCTATGAATCAAGAAGGAACTAGCTTTTCCCGTCTTCTGTTTTATTTTTACAGCGAACCAGTTTATAACTAGGGGGGTTCCGTAAATAGATATTTCGTGTGCAGGGACTAAAAACTCTATCCTCACATCGCCGCATGCGCTGCACGCACACGCCTTCCCCGTATAAAAGATTCATACTAAATAACCAAAATAAAGCGTTGACGAACGAGCGTGCAAGATGCCATTTGTTTTAGGCATTTGCTTTAGAACAGTTACTGCTGCAGACGCCTGGACGTGCAGAGCGTGGAACACCAATCCCCGCATTCTCCTTGATGCTTGGGTAATAAGCAAAAGGTCTATATGATGAAGACAAAGCATCCAAACTAATGGTACAGAGCGCGAGCTCTTAGCCTACTATTCATAAGCAGGTATGCCACACATGAAACATTGGTAAAATATATAAGTGTATTCATCTCTCAAAAATGTAGTTTATCGTGGACTGTTTCGGCATGCACATGACATCTCAAAACAAAATTAATTTTGTTCAATCCACAAAAAAGTTGTCTGCGCGGACTATTAGCCCTGTTGATCGCACTTCTTGCCGAGCACCAGTGCACTGCAGAGAAGCGAAACCTGCGAAAGAAAGCTCCGTGAGTGTTGCTTCTCTGTAGTGCACCGGTGCTCAGAAAGAAGCGCGCTCAACAGAGCCATGAGAAAGAAATTATAAATTGCTTGAAAACGCCGTTTGAATTAAGTGGCTTATAAATACATTAATACATAATGGGACAAGCAAAATTTTGAAATTTTGTTTGAATTAACGAGACGTGTGACATATCAAAGTATGAATTATCGCGAGCCTACAATGCGGAAAAAAAAAAGATAGAAACAACAACATATTCTCTATGTAAGAGGAAAAAAATGAAAGCCGTTTACAAATCCCTGTAATGCCGAATTGGAGCACAGCTCTTGAGGAGGAGTAGGGAAGGGTACTGAGGGGGGTCACGTCACCTGCGGGTAGTCACGTGACCCCGGGGGAGGGGGGGGGGGGGTCACGTGACCTCGGGGGGGGGGGGGGGGGGATCACGCGATCTCGGGGGGGGGGGTTACGTGACCTCGGGGGGGGGGGGGGGGGGGGGGTTACGTGATCCCCCCCCCAGTTACGTTGACGCCGACCAGGCTGGAAACGGGCCCGTAAGAGCTGCACTCTAAAAAATAATAATCAATTTAGCTGATATGAAACTATTAATGAATGGCACTCACGTCCAAGACGAGGTCAATGACTGGAGGCTGCTTTGTTGGGAATGCCAAGGACAGACTGTCCACAATGATGATCCTCAGGAAGTCCATCACATATTTACGCGCCGAGTGCTTGGTCAGTCCGGCATTGGCTTCCGAGCATTCAGAGTTTGATATTATCTACACAGGGGAGAAATTAACTCGTAAACGTTCGTTCATTTATAAAAAGATTGCACATATTGGCACATTTCTAGCATGGCACCATGGCCGAGAAGCGAATGAGCTTGAAGTGGCATCAGGCCAACTCTGCTTTCAGATAACAGTTAGCAAAGTCTAATGTGTTGAAGGACACGGTAACCTTAATGTTCATTCAATATCACAGTGCTTTTCAAATGAGGCCCCGTGGACCCCAAAAGGTTTGCAATCGCAAAGCCCTCGCTCGTCAATCGAGCCAAGCAATAAAACTTTTTTTCTTGTCATGCACAGAAAAAGCATTTCACCTTTGTGAGATGTTGCTTCTATATATATATCCATAGAACACGTCCATTTCACTCTAGCGATTAGCTGTGTTCATTTTTCATCTCATTATGGGTACCAATCTTGAGATTTTGTAACAAACAAATAATAAGGTACTAAAACCTGGTACAGTACATCCTGCTTATAACACATGCCGTGGGGAATCTAAAATCGGTTCGATACAGAGTGCAATCCACATAAACGATACCAGATCTAAAGATGTACTGCTTATAAAGATCAGTTTCTAGGGTTTCAAGACCAGAAACTTGAAGTGTGCGAATACCAATTAGTAGTTACTGAATCAAATACCGAATTGAATTTAGAAAATAAAAGCAGAATAACTTGAATTGAATATCGAATAGTGATTATTATTGTGTCAAAGTGCAGAAAAAGACTTCTCCAAGTCCGGCCCGCTTGGCACTGGCAAAGTACTCTTGGAAGGTATCTTTTGTGCAGAGTTGTAGCCATCCTCATAGCTTTCGGTAGCTTCCTCCACGTCCAGGTGGTTCGGAAAACGACCTTGTTCGCAAAATCCAAGGACAACCAAGGTCAGCAGCGATAGATTCAGCCAGGTAGAGTTGCGCAGTCCTAGTGCATGGTGGGGGGTACACCTTTTTGCCAAAAGAAACTTTGGCATAGGCTCGTAGTCGGAGAGAGAAACGAGCAGGGCGGTCAAGTTTGGAAGGTGCGGCGAGCAATTTGAGAGAGTCAGAAGACAGCGAAAGAGGAAGGCAATTGCGGATATGCCGATACGCGCCCAATTTGCGAGACTAGGGGACTGAGTAATGTAGCAAGACCGACACGACTAAAGTATTCCGTCCCACCATCTTGCCTACACCGTAGCCAACGGTAGACAAGATCAGGCAAGACTGTGGGCCGAGGTCTGGAGAACAGAAAAACGCAGAACAAGAATGACAAAAATATTGATATGTTTCGCACAACATGGTGCAGCGGTGCACGTCCCGTGCACTGCAGAGAAGGCAAACTTGCCGAGCACCGCGAGCTCCTCTCTCAATCGGAAGAAGTTTGGCAGGTGCATTAGTTGCATTATCGGTATGCGGCCTTTTGTTTTTGTGCTTAGTTTCTACAAATATCGTAAACACCTTTTTCTGCATTTAATCTGACTACATTTTTGTCAATTTGTTTTGTTATATCCGAGGTGGGCCTCTCGGGATTTTTCGTTAAAAGCAGGCTCGTATTGCATTGCAGGTACAGTATAGACCACTTACAACGTAACCGCTTATAGTGCAGGACCGGGTATAACGCGGCTTTTTTAAACCACCGGTTTGCCTCCCATAGAACTCCATGTAATTACATACCGCTTAAAATGCAGGCGCGCGAAGGGAAATACCGGTTATAGTGCGGTTTTCGGAACAGCCCGGCGACCGCGCCGACTGACCGACGCAGAGAGCAAGCTTCCCTGTGCGACACTAGATAACGGCGCGAGCCGCAACAACACGCAGCACTCGCGGGGCAAGGAGGGTGCTTGAAGAAGCGGTGAAAAACAAAGAGAGAGGCCTCAGTTGCCATAGCGACAGAGGGACGCACGCACGTGTCGTTCACGTGCGTGCGTCCCTCCGCAACCGCAACGACAGGCCAATCGCAAGTCAAGGAGAATTGTTCGCGCGCGTTGCATGCCGGCATGCATGCCGGTCGCGGCCCGGCCAGCCCGGCTACTTCTATCCGCAAACATGGCGTCGGTTGTGATCGTCGACATAGACGGCGCGGTTCGTTCTGCGTAAATCGTTCCGCGTAAAAGCGCTATCCTTGACTGAATTTTCGCTGTGTGTCGCTATGATAACCCAGCACGTACTAGAAGGGAAGATCCACCTACTCGTGAGGCGATGTCATGGCGGCACTCTCAAGACGGCAGAAACGCCCGTGTCGTCGTGCTTGTTTACTTCGACTACAGTGGTGACTTCTGCATTTGTGTTTTCGAACATCGCCCGGATTTCTTATTTGGAGCATTTCATGCCTGTGCTAAATTTGAAGGTATTACTGGCACGTACCGTATAAAGGATGCGAATTTTCATGCGTTTTCATCACAGGAGAAAAGTGATTAGGGTTAGCAATCCTGAACGCTAGCAACGTCCGTCCGCAACCCGCGACGCCATTTAAAGGCTGCGCCAGGCAAAAGTCGCTCATTTCTTTCAAAATGTGTGATACACTTGAGAGAGAAGTGTACTAGTCTGGTGAAATAAAGACTTTCCTAAAACTAAGCTTTATTTTTTATCTAATATAAAATAAATTTGTTTTACAAAGGTAAGTTGTCTCATGGCATGTATTTTGGCCTGAAAAGTTGATGTTTTGGTTATAACGCGGTACCGCTTATAGTGCGGATTATCGCGACTCCCGCGACATACGTTATATGCGGTCTACACTGTACTATACAAATAATAATGAGACATCAGTTTGTTATATCCACTATTTTGCTATTTCTGGGTTCATTATAATTGGGCCATACTGTATAGAAGTACAGCTGCCGACCGATTTCTCAACTTCTGCAGGGTTTGAAAAATGTCCGAATAATAAAGCAGTCCGAAAAATCACCAGATTAAAAAACTTGCCTTTAAATTACGTCTAAGCGGGCTTCAAAAAGCCGTAATTAGCGCCTTGCTTCAAGTTACGCCTGCGCGTCTTGTTCCAGTTTACATTTCCGTTTGCATTCAGAAACATTCTATTAGCTTGAAAATCCCTGCCTTCTTTTCTAGCATTATAGTCGAGTACTTTCTGTGCTCCTAAGCAACACATCGCGGCGGCGGAACAGATGGGGCAATGACGTCCAAGGCAGCGTAGTCCGAAAACATGATTCAGCGAGACGAGATCAAGATGAGAGGCGCAAGTGCAAGACTGCAACGTTAAATGAACAAGCAAAATGGTAACAACAATGATGATGATAATGACGCGCAACTAAAGAAAAAAAAGCCGCACATTGTTACCTAGCGGTAAGACTTAGCAACACTCAAGTAGCGCTGCCAAACCAAGCCAATCTGTGTGCCGCCAACAGTGAATCCAAAATGGTGTTGGTGGTGTTTCTTGGTGGTGTTTTGCACTAATCGCTCGCAATGATTTTGTCCAAAAAATCTAACTTTCGGACTTTAAGCTCTTCGAACCATCGGCCTTAAATATGCACTATTTTTATCAAGTAGGTCCCAGTTCCTTGCTAGGTTCGAAATATCGAACAAAACTGAATCATCAGTGTCCGGAAAATTGGTCGGCCACTGTAATGAAAGCACACAATATAGTAAAGAGGTCCTATAGAAATTATCATGACCATGGATGAAGTCTTTGTGTCTGGCGATGCTCTCAAAGTCCTGACCAGTGACAATAGTTAAAATTTCCAAATCTGCTGTCATTCTCTTTAGACTAAATATCACGAGAATCAAATTAGTAGGAAATGAATAGTATGGCGTGCACTCTCATTCTAGCAACAAAATAACCCAAGATGTCTTTTTTCAAAAAATTTTTCCCCCTTTTTTCCTTCAATTGGTCCGAAACAAAATTTTCTCTCTGTTGCTCCCCTCCCCCCTTGGTGAGAAGAGAAAGGGCCCACCTGGAAGTCGTCAGAGGGAGAGGCAGCCTCGCTGGGCCCCCTTACAAAGGGGAAGAGAGTGGAGGCAAGGGCGCACAGGATGTCCGAGCCCATGCACATACTCAAGAAGTCCTGCCGGTTCTGGTACAGGTACATCAGGAACTGCACCAGGGTCACTGGGTGCTCTTCCACCCCCGGGCTGTCCTTCGCTCTCGGCTGGAGAGGCAAGGGCGGTTGCAGCACGTTGTCTTTTAATCACTCTCCAAACACGACGAGGCTAAAATTTAAATGCTTCAAAAATGTTTTCCTAGTAATTCAATGTCTTGTTATGTTTCCCCACAACCCTCCAAATGAGTCACAGGCTTAACTCCATGGGACTCTTCATTGTCCCAGCCCCAACTGTCGCCTCCGCACACGTCTCGCCTGCTCGCACCCTCTCCCACCTTGGCTCTATCCCTGGTCCCTCCCTTTCTCCCAATTCCCCGCTTCCCTAGCCCCATTGTCCCTATCCTTCCGTCATGCCCTCATGCTCCCTACACCCTCACAACCTGGAAGTAAAGACTGCCCTTTTGACCTACTCTATTAAGGTGAAAGCCTTATAGGCCTCATCGTTCAGTCGACCTTCGAAGTCCTTGAGCAAAAACACGTCGGTGACACGAAAAGAATAAAAAAGAAAGGTACCAATGAAACGGCGCCAAAAGTGCGTCGTCAGAGAGCGCGCTGTCTTCGGAGGTTCGTTATCACTGGGACCACAGCCGACGCCATGATCCGAGTGAGCCAATGAAACGGTGCCAAAAGTGTGTCGCCAGAGAGTGGGCTGTCTTTGGAGGTTCGCTATCACATTTACATCAGTGCTTGGGCTTCCGCCTTCAAATCGACTTAGTGATAACATAAGAGACCCTGTGAATTTTTGTCTTGTTCCAAGCTCACTGCTTCACCACTGCAAGAAAAGTTGATTGTCCATGCTGTGGATGCCTATAATAAAGCTATAAAACTGACAAAGTTGAAGGGCTTGGAGAATATTTCTGAGCAAGGCCTGTTTTAGTATGAAATAACAGGTCATAACGAGTCCATTACGGCATTCTCACTCCACAACAAACTCAAGCTATGCTAGATAAAGGTACATTCCACATTGTCTTAGTGCTTATGCCACAACAGTATAGCCAAGAGCTCGCTAGTGTACATCGCAATTGGTAACGAAAAAAAACTGACAGCACATACTGCAACTGTCTCGCAGCATCACATTTTTCTAACGCGTCGAACTTGCACTGTGTATTAACTCGAATAGCAGACGAAATTTTTAACACTGAATCAACACCCTGGCATGTAATGCACTTAATAACAAACATGCTAACCTTGAAAGGAAACTAAGAAACTTTTTAAGGAATTTGGGAATTAGGAAGAAGGAATGAACAGATGGATTACCTGGTTGAGAACAACGCGAACCATGGCCAGCAACACGACAACCAGCTCAAAGTTGATGTCGCCCTGCGACATAACTGACTGACCAGGTGGTACCCCGAACAGGAACGACCAGATGTTGTCCAGGGAGAACTGCAGCAAAACGTCACGACATGTCAACACAGATCCATATTCTGGATTTTGCTAATCACCATCAATCATCAACTTACATGTTAGGACCCGCTGTTGCAGTACACCAACTTTTAATTCCCCTGTCTTGCCCTGAACGTTCATTGATTATAATTGCCTTTTCACAGCCATAGTCACAATTACTGAGACCACTGATATTAAAATTCCAATTACTACCAAAAAATTCCGCAAGAACGCCCACCCAAAATGAAGGAATAAATGGTGAAAAACATGAGGTGGGCTATCTTTGAAAATGAGAAAGCAAAACTTTCTAAAAAAAATGAATGATAAATACAAGGGCACCTGCTACAAACCACGTGATGCGGGAACTGATACCGCAGATCACGGACACGGCAAATTTGTCTTTCACGATGCAATAAACACGTGGGAATTCGCTACAAACTCTTCTGTCATGGGAAAGGATACTGCAGGTGGCAGACGCAGCAGATCTGCATTTCACAGTGGGAAGGAGAAGGATCCGCAGAAACCCGCCGAGAACTCGCATCTCACAAGAACGGATACCACAGATCGCAGAAGGAGCAGATTCAAGTTTCATGGTGCAATAAACATGCGAGAGCCTACTACAAATTTGCCTGCCGTGGGAACCAATATTCGCGTGCGGATCGTGGGAAAAAAAACACAAGAATTCAATATGAACTCGCATGTCCCGGGAACGAATACAGTAGATCGCGGACGCAGCAGAATTGCATTTCACGATGCAATATTGCAATATGCAGGTGGGAAAATTGTGTTGCAATGTAGATATCAACATTCGTGTTGTACCCTCAAACAAGTGGGCTCTGTGGCCATCAGGAACCGGCTGGCTCATGGTGACGCTCGATTCTGTATGCTCACTCAGACACCCCCAAGCTGTGTGCCCCAATCAGTCTTTGTACCTCTGTACACTGCAATATAGAAACCGAAACCAGGTATAGTAACACGTCTCCTCTTTTTAGAGAGAGTCTCTGGATGATGTAGGAACACCTTGTTTATCTTTGTTTACTTTTTACTTTTACTGTTTTCGTTTTGCTGGGTTTTTTTGCCTTTTCTTGTTGACTTTCATTTTACGCCACTTCTTTTCTTTTTTGCTTGACTTTTTTATATGGATGAAGAGAGAGCTCCCTTCCCTCTTCTACATGCCGCACCTCTCCCAGTTTTATTATTATTTTTTTTTTCTCTTTTTGTGTTAGTTGCTTGTGCTGTCGAGGTCACAGTAGCGCGTGCGCATAGGCGCGGCGAAATGCATGCGTGTGTGGCGCGGCGCTCGCGGTTCCCGCCAACTATGCTTTAACGAGGTTCTACCGTATTTAGTGGGCCTCTGATGGGCCAACTGGTAAGCTCCCGTTTTTCACGATTTTCGGCAATAGCAGAAATTCATGGAAATTTCAATTGGAGATTTAGTTAGCACATTTTTGTATATCGAATTAGCGATATATCAAACTATTTTGCGATCCCCTTAGAAGTCAGTATGTCCGGGTTCGACCATACAAACCTTCAGGGCCAACATGAAGTACAACCTTTACAAATACGTGGAGTACCCAAGCTACTTCATATACTAGTATATTGAAAAGGGTTTCGAAGCGTCAATATTAAGAGCGCATCTTCTCATGAGATCATGAGAAACAAATCACCAAGGACGAACTCCCTCCAGCGCACCATCTCCGTGTTACTACAAGGAGCAAGGCGGTAGCCTACCTGGAGGCCGCAGGGGATGCGGGTGACCGGGCGACCCATGAGCATGGCCAGCAGCAAGAAGTTGATGTCGGGCACCTTGACATGCTGGCACATGAGCCACTGCAGCTGCTGGAAGCCCGGCACCTGGTACACCTCCGCCTTGATCGACTGGCTGCTGCCGCCCTTGTTGTTGGGCGCAGACACGTTGAAGCCTGCCGGAGAGAGAGGTGGCATCGCGACGCACCAAAGGGTTGTTTGGGTTACAAGTTACCTTCCAAAGCATCCCGGTGACGAGATGCCACGACACATCAACTCAAGAAACACCTGCGCTGCCGACGATTCCTGGCAACAGTTCGTTTACCACCTTTTCTGGTGTAAAAGTCACATTCTTCTTTCATCAATTTCCACCAGTGTGTCTTATACGACGGTGTGACCAAAGGCCCGCTCACGCACTTGCGTCTGGCTACGACTGACTGAGACATGACCGGTTTTGAAGCCTCTTGCGATGGCTTACGACTGGCTCCGCAGCAGCGCATCCGGTCATAAGCCGTCGCAAGAGGCTTAAAAGGCCGGTCTTGTCTCGGTCGGTCGTAGTCTGACGCAAGTGTGTGAACGGGCCTTTATGTGTGTTTTTTAAAGATAAGTATGGACCTAAACTGTGCGAGGTGTAGGCGGTACTATACAGCTTTCAACAAATCCGAGGACGACCCGAAGCGCGTCGGTAGGGGTCTGCGGCTCGACAGCGTGCCATCCTTCTTTATACATGCGACTTATACAAAGGTGTGATTTATACAGCACCAACTTTTTTATGAAAATGGATGTTTATAGTAGGATGTAACTTACAAAGCAATGTGATTTGTAAACCGAAAAATAGGATACACTGCTGGTTTTAATTGCTGTCATTATCCTTTGTCTTAAATGTGCTGCAACTTATCTGGCACTGAGCTTAGCCTCTATTTTCTAGCCCTTTGTTATTTTATTGCTAGAGAGTGCCCGCAATAATTGAGGTCGTTGACCTTTTGACAAGTACCGAACAATTTTCATGCGATTCATATTAATAATTGGTCTTTTATTAGCAGCTCTTCAGATGCTTTCTGATTCAAACTTCTGGAAAAACACAAAAACTCTTGAAGTATTCACTGATATGACTCGAGTTCAGAATGATCAGATTTTCCGATTGTCCGCAACCATTTGCAAATAAACTGGGTTAAAAAAAATAATCATTACACATGGTGCGTCAGGATCTAGTAAGGTGAAGGCTCGTTGTCCGCAACAAATTCAGATTCCCATTTTAGCGCATATTTCTAGTATGATGATTTTTTTACGGATCAATAGAAATCACGGTGCACTCCAAAGGCCGAGGTAAAGACCTCAGCGCTCGCGTTAATTAAGAAAAGAAGCACTTGGACAAGTACATAGTTTAAGTCAAGCTTCCTGTCAATTTTATAACTTTAGTAGGCTTGTTTTGCTTCATCCATTACGCCGAGTTAACAGTATAGTGAGGCAACATGCCAGAAGCACCTGAGTGCATCAATGTTACCAGGGGTTTGGCTGCACTCAAACTATTACATAATTCCAGGTTTCCTCAGATTTTTTTTCTTTTTTTTGACAGATCCGTCCCACCAGTACTGTGGTGCATGTTACGCAGACAGATGCCATTCAGCGGCCGCGTTACGGAGCCCCCGGAAAGAGGCGTACCGAGGAGCACGGTGGTCCTGTTCTGCAGCACGAGGTCCGTCTCGGTGAGCCAGCCTCCGTTGTGGGAGGCCTCCCTGAAGCGCTGCATGAGGGTGGGGCAGCTGAGCAGAACTGTGAGCAGCTGCAGACCCAGCACCACCGTGGTCGGGTGCAGCTGCCTCTGCAGGAACAGCAGCACCCAGTCCAGGCCTAGCACGCGGGCAAGCTCCTCGCAGAACCTGCGGGGACAGTGGGAGGTGCGTCGGGAGACTAGGGGTAAGCTCTTAATGAATCGCTATGCTCTGGAGCACGGGCTCTCAAACGAGGTTCCTAGCAATGCGGGGCTTCCCAGAGCACTTTCAATGGTTCCCCGAGCTCCAAAAGTATTCTCCACCGCTCCCCGTCCCCGAGTGAAGTGTTTCCCCAGTTCGAGCACTATTCTGGCACATTTAAGCCACCCATTGATGCACACAGCTATGAGACAAACATGGCCGAGAATGATAATTATTGTTTGCAAGCTCTGCAAGCCTTGGAACTGGATTACTGCTCCAGTGCCTAGACCAAGAGGGGTTCCTCGGCTATAAGCCAAGCCGGGTAAGGATTTCTCGAGATCAAGAAGTTCAAAAACCTCACCTGTAAAAGCTTAGAAAAAAAAAAACAAAAAAAACATAATTACCTTACACTAGTATTGTAAAACACAGAGCATGGGCTCCTGTCCCTATAAGTGCATCGTGCCAACATTCAAACTGTTAAAAAAGACAAGCAAAGAAGGTATCGAGTGTTTACCTAAGATTTCTGATCACCTAGCTAATTGAAATGCTTCCCTGCGTCAGCCGTGTCTTTAAGCATGCTGATGCTACTACAAATGAATAGCGCGAAGGTCAAGTGTATACTTGACCTTCGCGCTTCGCGCTATTTATTTGTAATATGGATATCCAACTAGCCCACCTTAATATTTTAGTACATGCTTGTGCATAGTGAGAAAATAATAGTCGAAAAAAATCTTTATATCTTTTATAAAAAAAAACATCCACAAAGTAAAAAAGGAATGCCACAGTTACATTGCCCATTGAATTACAGTTAGGAAAAACAATTGAGTGAGCCTTTCCTTTTGTCCCATTGCCAAACAATAGTTTTCCTAAAGTGAAATTTATGTTATAAAGTGGAACAGAGAAAAACACATTTAAATTGCTTGAACCTCTACCTTTTTCTCAGCATCAGTGGAACGAAAATAATTTATAAGCAAGTAACTATAGAGTGTAAACAAATGAAACTTTATGGGAATACTCTCTACATGTTGGTGGATGTAAATATAGCATTTTACAAAATCAACATTTTTTGGCAGAAAATTTTTTTTTTTTCTTTTTGGGTAGTGTTTTTTTTTAGCAATGAACTTTACTACAGTGGTATTCAATATTTTGTGAGTGAAACATACATCGTAGAAATGTTTGCAATATTGATTAGCCCCGCTATGCATGTCTGCTTTAGCCATAATGACTCGCGAACAGTGCTCAAAGGCCCCAGCTACAGAAAATGTAAAATACTCAATTGTGCACAATTTTAACAGTGATTGAAGAAACAAAATTCCAGAATGTTCGTCGGCACGAAGGAAAAATGAAAGTCGTTTACAGCTCCCTGTAATGCCGGATGAGAGCACGGCTCTTGAGGAGGAGGATGGAAGGGTACTGAGGGATAGGTGACTCCCTGAGGTCACACAACCTTAGGGGGGGGGGGGGGGGGGGGGGGGGGGGTGGAGGGGGGGTTTACGTGAGGGTAACTCTCAAACCTCATGACCCTCGTGAGAGTAACCTTCGTGACACTCATAAGGGTAACCCTTTTGGGGGTAACTAACCCTCGCAACCCTCGTGAGGGTAACCCTCATGAGGGTAGCCATCGTGATCCTCGTGGGGGTAACCCTCGTGACGTCATTATGGGAAACTTCCCATAATGCAACATGCGGTTACGCCATTGCATGCAATGCATTGTATGCGAGCTTTGCAAATCCATTGCATGCAACATTCTGGTTGCATGCAATGGGCCTGCAAAGGGCAATTACGCCGCTTGCATGCAACGCGTTGCATGCAAGCTTTACATGCGCATTGCATGCAACGCACGGTTACGCTGACGCCGACACCACTCAAGCCGGAAAGAGGTGCCTAAGAGCTGCGCTCTAAAAGCCTGCTTCTCCAAAACTAACTTATACGTGCCTGGAAGTCACGCATCGGTTGATGTTACGGAAGACTGGTTAAAAGATGCTACAGCTATAAGGAGCTTTAATAAAAAAAAAGTGAAGGAAGGAATCAACACTTACGGAACATTGACGTTTTTCGAGTTCTGATAGGTCATGAGGTGCAGTATGTGCAGGCAGCGGTTCCTCAGGCAGACATTGTGAATCAGTAGAGCAGTCTCGTCCAGTGGTCCTATACGAAAGCAGAAGCCCCAATCGCAAAATATCCCACAGTGTAAATAAAGACCATGATCAACATTATTGAATCGAAACAAGCATGAACCATAAAAAAGAAGAAAACTCTACCTGAAGACTCGGACATGTCAGTCTCCCTCTTCAGGTTGAGCAGCTTCTCAGAAACTGAAGGTCGCGGTAATGTGGACACCATGAACTGGCCGAACCTAAAACAGAGTCAGGACGTTAGATTTGGACCCTGCAAAAAGACTGCCAAACTAAGCTCAGCTCATAATATTTCATTATGAGGGTTTTCATAAGGCTGAGTTTGACAAATATGTGTGTTTATGCCTCTTTTTTATTCTTGGCTTGTTTCTGGTTGAAGTATGAATGTTTATGACATCTTAATGCTGTCTGCTGCCTTTGACTGCATGCCTTAGCTTCTGACTTACTGTAATACATAAACCGAGATTAAAAATTAAGATAGCACCTAGATCACAAGTAACACACAAATATTACAACAACAAAGCAGACATCAAAGAAGTGTAACAGCTGTAATTGCTGGGAGGTCACACCAACCAGTTTGTTTGCTTATTAGGAATGTGCAAACAGTGCATTTTGAGTTTTTCTAATAACAAATAGTTAGTCTTGTGCGAATAGTGGATTTTGAGTTCGAAGCGAATAGTGGTTTTGGCCGAATTTTTTCGAATCGAATATCGAATAGTTTTTTCCACGCCTTTCACTATCATAACATAATGCTTAGACAAAAACCCCTGTTCCACCTGTTCATTTATAAGCCAAGTTTAATCTATCTATATTTATGAACTGTGACCTCAGAAGGTCTGATGTCTTGGGATGGTAAGTAAACAAGTTTGACATAAAATGGCCAACTACTATACCCAATTGAGTGAATTTACAAATCTTAAATATTCTCTCTTTAATTTCGAGTCAAAAAAGAATGACTCGCGCATGATGAACGCAGGTTTTAAGGGCATCTCTGCCCAACATATACTCTTGCAAAACAGTCAGTTTAATTTAAAAATTTTTAACCAATGTAGATACTGTAAAACCCTTAATGTTTGCGAGCCCTTAATTTTCACGAATATCGAGAGTTGAAAAATTTGTGAAACTTAAAGGCACGCGAAAATTTCGGTCTTCAAGAGTTTCGATGCAGGTCTCTGGAATTCGCAAACTTTAGTGGCCGTGATATGTCCTCTGTGACCGATTCGCGAAAAATAGGGGCCCCGAAAACAAAGGGTTTTACAGTATACACATTCACAAAGTTTCCATTTATTTTTAAATACAGCTGGCACGCGTGCACCATTCCGCTTTGAATATATGGTTTTCGTCCAAGCACGCAACTGCGATATTCATACTTTTCCAAATCTTTATCGGGGGATCGGTGGCCGATTGAACGTATAAAAGTGAATCGATCCGTCCGCCAAGGGTGTCCTTTGTCACCACTTCTTTTTTGCATTTACATAGAATCCCTTTGCATTAGTATTTTTAAAAACAGTACTATCAGTGGTTTTCAGCTTCATGCGACCGAAGTTAAAGTGTTAGCGTATGCTGATGATATTGCAGTGTTTTGTTCCAACCGCGAGAGTATTGTTCAAGTCGTTCACAGGCTTAAACGTTATTGCGAAGTCAGTGGCAGCTCTGTTAACTGGGCCAAGTGCCTGGGATTTTGGCATGGAGAGTGGAGCTCTACTCCTAGTTCGTTTGCCAACATGCAGTGGGTGACCACCCCCGTAAAATATTTGGGAGTGCCTCTAGAAAATTATCGCGATAGCGAACCCTATTGGTGACGGCAGGTAATGGAGCTTCGCGAAAGAGTAGAAAAAAGTCGGAGGTATGATCTGTCTATTTTTGCACGGGCCACAGTTTGCAATTTGTTTTTTGTCAGCAGTGGTACGTTCTACAAGTTTTGCATTGTTCGCGGGTAAATGTGCAGAAATTGCACCGGGTATTTGCAGTGTTTATTTGGGGTTCCACGTGAGAGCGATCGAGTAGGACGAATCTTTTCCGGCGCGTACGCAATGGGGGGCTTAGTTTGACGCATTTGTTTTTACGTCAGGTTGTTATAGGTTCATGTATTTTCGGGACATAAGTGACCCCTTTTTGCGCACCATTTGTCAAGTGAGAGTTGCAAGCAGGTTGCCTGAATTGATTGTTTCCACGTCATCGATGTCGGGTGGTATTCACGGATATTTAAAGGAAGTCGTTGCCTCATGTAAATTTCTGTTATCTCGTTTTTCAGTTGAGTATTTGAGTGAGGTTCCTCGGAAAAGATTGTATAAGGCTGTGTGCGATACTGTGTTTCCTGTACCTCTATACAGAGCCTTATACTGTGCAGGCCCAGGGCAAGATGTCTTGAAGCGCGTTAAGCGTATGGTGGTGCCCGCAGGCATCAAGACTTTCTTCTTTACATTACATTCAGGTACACTGCCGGTCAAGACATGGCTAAACGAGAGGCGACTTTTTGTACCGTGGGGGGATCACTGCTTTTTATGCAAGAAGCCAGAGACGGTCGAACACGTGTTTCTTGAGTGCTGGGATGGGGTCTTCTTCTGGGACGTCCTCCAACGTACCCTGAAGAAGGACCTCCCCCTGGATGCGCATGGAATCCGTTATCTATCGGTTAAAAACGAGGAAGGTTTTCCCTTTGACCTGGTTATGCTGTTGGGTCTGCACAGTATTTGGAAGTCCCGAATGGCTCTACACAACGCTGACAATAATGTACGGGAGGCGCGGGAATATTTTCGTGAAAGTGTATCTTTGTTAGTTGAAGTCAACAGAGCACAGAAGTGCGAGCCTGAGTGGCTTCCGCGCATTGAGGCACTTTTGTCCATGAAACAATTTTAGCCTCCGACGCCAGTCACTTCGAACTGGTTTAGTTTAGCCTTGCCCTGCTTCCTATGGTTTGAGCGATATGCCTACCTATTTGACAATGTAAAAAAACCCGGCAATAAAGAAAAAAAAAAATCGGTGGCCGAGTGGTCTAGCGCACACCAGCTCGGAGCACGTGGAACGAAAGCTCGCGCTGCAGAACTCAGGGATCCTGGGTTCGAGCCCCACCCCTGCCCGGTTTGATCTGGATGAGCATCGTACCGGCGTGCGGTCGTGTTTCACTACTGCGTGGTGCACGTTAAAGACCCCAGGCTAGCGGCTGTACCACACTGGCTAAATTTCTCATCTACAGCTGGGAGACTCGTCGCCCCTGTGAGGCAGACCAAGTTCTAGGCTGTATAAACACACACACAACCCCAAATCTTTATCGCGGCGGGTTACTCCGTTGAGTGCGCTTCTTACCGAGCACCGATGTGATGCGGAGAAGCAACACCCGCGGAGCTTGTTTCCGTGGGTATTGCTTCTCCGCAGTGCACCGATGCTCGGTAAGAAGCGCACTCAACGGGGCTAACCCACCGCAATCAACACTTCGAAAAACGCGAATAGTGAAGTTCTTCTCGAAGCGAATATCGAATAGTGTATTATTCGGAACTACTATTCGAAATTTCGAATATTCGCACAACCCTACAAATAGTTTCTCCAAGCTTTTCACTACTGCACCCTGTTAAGATAAAGCCGAGCTGAACTTGTGAAGGTGTTCCAAAGCTTCCAATAGTCCATTTCTAAGCTAAGTTAGTTTTAATCTTAATATATTTATTGACTGTGGCCCGGGGAAGTTCAATGCCTGCCTTAGAATGACAAAAAAATGACACATTTGTCACATTTGACATAAAATTAGACCTATAAAGATACCCAGCTGTACCTAGTCGAAGGAGTTTATAAATAAGCTTGCTTTATGCTAACCTTTCTTCAATCTTGAGTTCGGAAAAAACAATTGAGCAGTCAAGCGGTGATTCACAGTACGGTCACAGCGATAGCTGCAACACGTCATGGCGAAGTCGTTGGGCATCGGCATCCCTTTCACGCACCGTGGGGCAGTGGGGCGCGAGAACGCAAGCGTTCAGAACAAAATAGACATCTGTTTTGTTCCGAATGCTTTTGTTTCTCGTTTTGTTCCAGAGCGCGTGAAAGTGTGTCTCCCGGCACGAGCTCTCGGCATTGACAGTGCTACAACGGCATTTTGTTATCGGCTATTTTTTTCCCCAGAGAGCCCGTGCGGGGGGGGGTCAAGTACTACAAAAAGCCCAAGTTTAGAGCAGGTTATTAACGCTGTGGCCTAGCTCAGCGGTAACGCCTCTGCTTCCCATGCAACGAACCCAGGCTCGATTCCTGCGGGCGGCGGGCAATCTTTTCCCAGGATTTGGCAACAAATACGACGGACGCCCTATACCCCCAACTGCAACATCAACGACAACAACTACTATTACATCAACAACGGACATCAACCCCAGTGATGGGAAGAGCCCATAACAGCTGTTGCTATCAAAGACAATCACTTACAATGAATGCAGGTTGTCAGGGCATCTCTGTCTATTATAGTTTTGCATATTAGCCACACCTTAATTTTGAAAATTTTACTGCAAAGAGAAATCTGACGTCCACAAAATTTTCTCAAATACAACAGGCGCGTGCATGCACTGTATACTTTAAAAGTGTGCTTTTCCCCTAAGCACGCAACTGCAATATTTGCTTAAAAGTTTTGACTGCGGCAAGTTAGCCCCGTTGAGTGCACTTCTTACTGAGCACTGGTGCAGTGCAGAGAGGCAACACCCATATAAGCGAGCGCTGCAAACAGTGCTTCTCCGCAGTGCACTGGTGTTCGGTAAGAAGCGCACTCAATGGGGCTAACCCACTGTGATCAACACTTCGGAAAGTATGAATCTCACACTTCACCTTGAAGCGAATATTGAATACAGCCTAAGCTCGTTATTACAAACCTTGATTTAGACCAAAATTTTGGTCTGTTGTAAAAGGAGTATGTTATGTGCAGATATGAAGTTGAGTCAATGATATGTAGAGGAAAACCAACCGAACCTCACAAATCGGTATGTTATTTCCAAATGCCTGCGTAACCAGGTCTGTTGTAATGAGCTTAGACTTAGCATATTATTCTAAACTGCTACTCAAAAATTCGAATATTTGCACAATCCTATTGTTTACTTAGTTAGACACTAGGTCTAGGGTAACAGGGCAAAAGGCAGATTTGCTCCGTTTCACAATGTCCCGTTACCCATCCAGACTGTTCAGCGGGCAACAATGGAACAACATTGAAGAAAGAAAAAAAGAAAAAAATGCAAGAAAAAGCCAGTCTGTAGCA